CTCCATGCCCCAGGGCCCATTTTCTTCTTGGCGAGCATATTTGGCTCCATAAAACCTTCCTCGAGACTTCTAGCTCTGGAAGTTCAGTTTTTTGCTGAACAGAAGAAACTCCCTACGACGCCCGCCAGGGCACACAGGAAGCTGTCAGCAGCTCTAGGGTGGCCAGTGGAGGCGGCGGCTGCCCCCTGGAGCCCAGGGAGAGGACGTGGGGAGAGGCTCGGGCGCTGCCAGGAACGCCATCCCAGCAGAGGGGGTAGGGATGGCCCTGCCTCTCCTTTCCTCTGCCCTCAGCCTTGCCAGTATCCCCAGGCTGCCAGACGCCCTGGAAACTGGTTCACAAGGCAGCCTGGAAAGAGCTGAAGAGAACAAGGATTTGGCCTGAGCGCCAGCACCGCGGCCCACGCGGCATCAGGGCAGAAATGGAGAGGGAGGGGAGGGGAAGTGCGGGAGGGGAAGTGAGGGCGGGGCAGTGCTGCTTCTGGGCATGGGGAGTTGAGGTGCTCCTGGGACCTCCACGGGACGTCTGGGAGGCACTTCCTAGTCCCCTGATTGCAGAGACAGGGGGCCTCTGCGCATTCGGAGTGTGCCAGCCGACAGCCCTCGTTACACTGAGGTGCTCCCACGGTAAGTGCCGCTGCTGCTTCGAAGAAACCTTCCGGTTAGTTTCCAAAATGGTTGCTTCGTTTAACCTGCTCAGCAGTCTTACAGAGGGTCTACATGCTCCCCGTTCTCCCCGCCATCTCGCCTTTTTATTTCAGCTGTTCTCCAGGATGTGACATGGACCTCATGGTGATTTTAATTGGCATTTTTCAGGTGACCTCTCAGACAGAGCACCTTAAGAAGGACTTTTACGGGGGCCCATGTGAACGAACCTCCAGAAGCTAAACCCTGTAGGAGGGAAGCTGGAGGGGGAGCAGGGCCAGAGTGTGGCTGGCCAAAGGCCTCTCCCTGCCGAGGTCTCAGACAGCCCCCCAAGCGGCCCGCGGGCCTTCCAGGCTTTTCTTCGTTCCGGGTTACCTCTCTGAGCCGGAGGTAAAGGTGTGAACTTGGAACCTAACAAATACCGGGTTTAAACTCTCAGACCACCACCACTTGCTGGCTAGGACCTTGCACACTGAAGTTTTTGCACCTGCAAATGGGAACCCTGTCTTTTCAAGACGGTTGCTGTGAGGATTCAGTCCAATGGTGTTGGTCAACTGGGCAGCTGGGTTTGGCATATAGGAGCTCAGCAATGGAAGTAAGCGCCGTTGGTTTTGTTAGAAGAATTAAAGAGATGCTGGACGCTACCTGTATTTCCCAGGGGGACGCAGGCTCGGGGATAGTTAAAAGACGTGTCCGAAAAACCCCTGATCAGAACAGAGTCGCAATAAAGCCCAAGTTTCCGCATTCCCCTGCCAGTTGCGCCCTCTCCCCGCCCCGCCCGCACTTGCCCCACACTTCTTAATCACTCACTTATACATTGTACCAGCCCTGGAATAAAACTTTTCACTGAAAGGCCTCGCTTACACTGTCTTTGTTTGAAATATTGTCTTGGTGCACAGAGCGGACTCACACCGAGGATTCTCAGCCAGGGAAGAGGCTCCTAAGGTCTTCTTCCTGCTCATTTGCGTTTCCAAACACCACCAAGACCCACGTGTCAACCGCACGGTGAACGTGGTTCCAAGGACACGTCCTCTCCGTCCCCACTCCCCACTTGAAGGACGGGGAGAGGGGCCTGAAGACAGACACGGCACGGGCTGTGTACTCAAGTGCTGTGTACTCAAGTGCCGCCTTTCGGGAAAAGGGGTATTCCCACCCCTAGCTTCTCCGGGAATACCGCCAGAGGTCAGGCTAGGAACCGCTCTCGCCACTCGCCCGAGGCCAACGCGGCTGCTTCAAGTGAAAGGGATTTATTTTTCAACAATATTTCAAAAGCAGTGCATTATGTGCAAACATTCGACCAAAGCCTTAACGCAGTCGTCACAGGATGACCTTTTGGAAGGGCGGGGGGGGTCAGGGAATTGCGCAGGACTCCCATGCCCCACCCCCGCCTTCCCTGAGCCGGCTGTCCCAACTCGCGCCGGCCTGTGTCTTGGTCACTGAATGTCCTAGACTACAGGGTGAGACCCGGGGTCCGCATCACCGCCTGGGAGCGGGCGAGAACGTGGCGCAGCCGGCACAGAGCCGCCGGTGTCCTCGCCGCCCGCGCGCCGGACCCGGAAGTGGGAGCCTCACGTGCTCTGCGGGAACTCGCCCGGCCGGGGCGGGGCGCCGCACTGTGCGTGCTTGCGTCATTGCGTATGCCGGCGGGGCCGCAGGATGGAGAGGTGACGTTTCCGGTATGTAAAAGACTGTGGGCGGGTCCAGGGAGTGGGGCCGAAGCCAGACCCTCCTCTTAAAGCTCTACCGGCCTTTTTGCGTTCTGCAGCGCTGGTTGTGGGCCGCGGTGCCTTTAAGTGTCGCCTTGACACGTGTGTGAAGCGTTGAGGGCCCGGATGGTGAGTGTGCGGGGCCCGGGCCGAGCAGACGCCAGCGCCCCGGGCTGCAACGGGCTAGCGGAGGGCCGGGTAGGATGGGGCCGAGTTTGGGGGGCGCGTGGACCGGGGGAAGGCTGCGCGTCCCGCCAAGGGGAGGGCTTCCGCCGGGCCTACTGCACGGGAAGTTGCGGCCCGACGCGGGCGCACCTGGGGACGCTCCGGGGAAACGTGGGCGCGTGTCCGTGAGGGCTCCCGGCTCCAGGAGCAGGGCCCGGGGCTGTGCGGTCCGCAAGGGGCTCGGGAGTCCGGGGGGGAACGTGGCACGTGTCCGTGAGGGCTCCCGGGTCCATGGGCAGGGCTCGGGGCTGCGCGGCCCGCGGGGAGGCCCTAGGTCCACTCTGCGGTCCTCCGCGAACCCCGAGCGGTGGTGGAGGGGGACACTGCCCCACAGGAGGCCATGAGGGCGCGAGGCAGTGGCCATCGTCGCTGTGGGGCACAGCCGTCCGGCACCGAAGCATCCTTAACGCAGGATCTGTCTAGCCGTCCTCTGGAACGGCTTAAGTCAAAATCGGGAGCACAGCGTCTGCTGGGCAGCAGAGCTGAGGTCGTATCTGTTTCCCTTTAGTAAGCGATATGGAAAAGGCTCACCCTTGGAAAAGGTAGGTAACCTTACTCATGGTCATTGCCGCGGTCATGGGGGATGTGGGTGCTTAAAATACCGTTGCCTGGTGGGGTACTGTTGGGTCTCCCCTGCGGTCTCCGCTAGAGTAGCATCCTCAAACAGAGACTTTCTATAAGGGATGCCGCGAATCGGGCCTCCGTGGAGGGGGACGCGCAGCTGGCTGGGCGCTGGTGCTCTGCGGAAGAGCCTGGAGGCCCCCCTACCGGCGCCCCAGAGAGGCCCAGCCCGGTCCCTCGGAGGCCCCTCCCCGCCTGCACGTGGTTGACCCTGTGAGTCTTCAGTGCGGTTGATGGGAGAGAGAGGGAGAGAGAGTGCGCTTGCACGGAGGGTGCACGGTCTGGGGGCGCTGCGTTGGAGCTCCCCTGGGGGTGGAGAAGCACACGGAGGAGGGGAGCCCCCCGGGGCCGGAGGAAACCCGAGCGTGTCCTTCCCCGGGTTTGAAGCGTGTTTGTCACGCCTGCACCTCAGAGGGCATGCTGGTGACACAAGGACATCGTTCTGTGGGTTCCCACACCTCAGAGAGAAATCGTTTTTAGGTTATTACTTACTGTGTCAGGTGAAGCTGATGACATAGAGGTCGATCTTTCCGTCAGAACTGGAAAAATGATGTTTGTTCAAAATCTGACTCCACTGGGAGAAGTGGGCTACGGGGTGGGTGGTGCTCTTTCAGTGTACGTTGGGTTAAATCTCCCAAGTTCTGTTCATCCTCTCGCTACTCAGTTCCCAAATGTTCGCCCTTCCCCTCGGTCCAGGACGAAGTCCTCGCCTGTCCCTGCAGAGGTGTGTCTTTTTTATTTTTTTACTTTTTGAGAATTTTTTTTAAAAAAGATTTTATTTATTTTCAGGGAAGGGAAGGGAGAGAGGGAGAGAAACATCAAGGTGTGGCTGCCTCATGCACGCCCCCTACTGGGGACCTGGGCCGCAACTCAGGCAGGTGCCCTGGCTGGGAATCGAACTGGTGACCCTTTGGTTCGCAGGCTGGCACTCAATCCACTGAGCCACGCCAGCCAGGGCTGAGGTGTGAGTCTTGGCTGTGGCACAGACACCGGACGGAGTTTTTGTCTTGTTTTGGCGTTGATGAGCCATGGATCTGGTGTGACATGTCTGAAGCTTGCTGTGAAGTCCTGTGGGGACAGGAAGGGGGTCAGGACGCTCCTGCACGCCTGCTGACGTTGAATAAGGGGTTGAGGTGGTTCACTGTGCTGTCCTCTCCACATTGTGTGCGTCCGAACGTTTCCACGCTTAAAGCAGCTCAGTTGTGCGTGATCGTAGTGCTTGCGGGCGGTCATTAAAAGGAGGAATCCACACTGAGCAGAGACAAACTCTGGCAGTTCTTACTTTTCCTTCAATTGGGTTTTTTGAGGGTGGCGGTTTTCAGTGGTTCATGAAATCTGAAAGTTGGAGATCACTATCGATTGCATCTTTCTCTTCAGAATGCCGCTCAGGCCGGGGCTGACCGGCCCCTGTGGGGCAGTTTGTGTTCCCTCGTTCCTGACCTTGTTGCTGACACGAAAGTTTAAGCACAGAGCAAATGGTGTGTTTTCACATCCCGCCGGTGAACCAGCTTGTAGCTCGGTACTCAGCTCCCCGACCGGCTCTTCCTAGGTCCCCGGCTGTCACCGTTTCTCCCACCCTAAGGCAGACTGTTCCCGGCTGGGGTGCGGCCTTCCTGCTCCACACCCACGGAGGAGTGGGGCTGATGAGACAGCGGGGGTCGGGGGGAGCCGGCCTCATGGGATGCTCTGTTTACCCCACAGGTTCTGACTCCTGCCCCGGACAACACACCTACAGCTTTAGCGAGCCCAAGACGAGGAGCACGCGCATTTGAGGGCCCAGCCCCAGGACCCCCCCCCCGCTCCGGTCTGGCCAAGGACGTGACCCCGTGCTGCAGCAGCGGTGTGCCCAAGTTCACACGTCCCAGGTAAGCCGCACAGGCTCCCGCGTACCTTTTCCTTCCCACGTGGGACCCAGGGGCCACGTGCAGGCTGGGCTCTCTTTTGGTTCCCTCTACGAGAAATGCTTTCATTTCCTCGAATCAAAGAACTTGTGCATGCTTTTTCAAAAATAAGCTTCACTCCCTGGCCAGGTGGCTCAGTTGGTTGGAGCGTCATCCTGTACACCAGAAGGCTGCGGGCTCAGTCCTGGGTCAGGGCGTGTCTGGGAGGCACTGATCTATGTTTCCCTCTCTCCCTTCCTCTCTCTCTCTAAAAGCAATAAAAAAACCAAACATATCCTCAGGTGAGGATTTAAAACAGTGTTTTAAAAAAGGTTACAAGGCTGTACTTTCCAGACATGTTGATAGACAAAGAAACTTGATCCACATATGAAATCAGATGCTTCATAATGTAAATTTGATTGGCGCGTTCACTAGCGCAGAGGTCTGGGGTACGCCTGACCCGTCGGTGCTCCTGTGGCCAGCAGGTCGCCGGGGACCTGAGGGAATCACCGTGTTTCTGATGGGCGTGAGCAGTTTCAGGGACATATTTTTCCGACTGTGATTCGCGTGGTCCTGAGCTTCGGCTGGGATGAGGGGCGGGGGGACGCGGCAGGCACACCGCAGCCATCAGAGGTAGTGGCCTTCCTGCCTGGGCGGTTCCTGCGGCTGCCCCGCCGCGCCCTCCCTCTCGCCGAGCTCGGCCCTCCCCCAGCGCTCCTCGTCCCCCAGGGTCCCGCCCACCTGTGGCTGTTTCTGTCCCTGTTTCACAAAGACTGGGAGAGCTGGGGAAGTCACAGCGATTGTCCCTGGACTTCTTGGCCCGCCTCGTCCCGGAGCCTGCAGCTGCCGCCCCCGGTTTGTTTAAGCGTGGGCGCCTTGGGTTTGCGGTCCTCGTCCCGTCACTGTGCTTTGTCTGCAGACAACCCACAAGCGCTGTCCAACCACGCACGTGACGAGTATAACTTAAACGTTACAGTAGCCACGTTAAACAGTAAGAAGAAGCAGGCGAAGTTAAGTTTCATAGTCTATTTTAGTTAACCAGATATACGTACATAAAATATCACCTCAGCATATAAGCGATCGAAGAATTATCGAGGTATCTTACACTCTCATACTGAGGCTTCGGAATCGGGCGTGTGCATCCCACTCCAGCACGTCGGTTTGGAGTGTCCTGCTTCCATGTGCTTCGTGGCCCTGCGTGGCCTGTGGCCTTCAATTCAGAGTGTGGGTCTGGGTGGACGAGCGTGCGCCTCCGACTTGCCGCATCAGCTCCTCGTTGCATGGATTTGGGTGTGTGACCAGAGGGTCCTACGGGAGTTGGTGTTTCTCAGCTGTGAGCAGACACGAGGGCGGCGTGGGCGCCTTTGGAGAGGACATCACCTCCCGCATCCCCGGTGCAGAGTCTGCAGTCCCCCGTGGAAGAGATGCGCGCCCCACGGCGCCCCGGGCTCTGGGTGCCTCTCCCATCGGTCTGGCGCTCCGGTGGAGGCAACTCGTCCTCTCGAGAGGAGCCCCACGGACTCCAGTGTCCCCAGGGTCACCCATGGGTCCCCGCGTCGCACGCTTCCTTTGCAGGCCTGGCAGCCACCCAGAGAAGCTTTCAGCATGGCTCGTGTCTGTGATGACCAAGGGGGGGCTTTCCCGAGAAGCGCTTTGTTCCTGGGGCCTGGTTGGTCACTGCTCTGTGTTCCTCCATGTCCCCACAGTGATGCGCCATGCCGATCGTCGATAAGCTGAAGGAGGCCCTGAAACCTGGCCGCAAGGACTCAGCCGACGACGGAGAGCTGGGGCGGCTGCTGGCCGCCTCGGCCAAGAAGGTCCTTCTACAGAAGATCGAGTTCGAGCCGGCCAGCAAGAGCTTCTCCTACCAGCTGGAGTCCTTGAAGAGCAAATATGTGCTGCTGAACCCCAAGCCCGAGGGGGCCGGCCGCCACCGGAGTGCAGACGAGCCGCCGGCCAGGAGACTGGGTATGGACGTGGCGCTTGCTGGCGGGGGGCACCGCTGTGGGCGGGCGGGCCAAGCGCTGACTGGTCAGCAGGGACCAAAGCAGAATGCGGTCCACGAGCTGTGGGTTTGACGTGCGGTCCGTGGATTTTAGTTGTGGGGGCAATGAAGTGGGGTTGGTCCGAAGGAGGCCTGTGTCCTTAGGTTTTCTGGGGACTCGTGTGTGTGACAGGATCCCGCGGGGGCTGGGAACCAAGAAAGAAATGGGCGGGCTGCTCAGGGCCGGGGCCCGGCTCCTCCGGCCTGTCGTTCTCTGCATCTCGTCCTCTCGGCCACGGGGGCCCTTAAATTCCAGACCCGTGTGGCCTGGAGGGCCCGTGGGACGCTGGGCTTCCCCCGGGCTTTCTAGGCCTTCCAGCGACTGGGCACACCAGCGGCCCTTCAGTGCCACGTTGGGACGAGTGCAGCTACGTGTCCGTCCGCGATCTCTTTCTGTGGCTGGACCGTGTGCAGACTCGCGTCACCCTCCTTTCGTCCCTGTCCCTCAGGCAGCGAGCACGCATATGACAGCGGCGGGGACGGGGTCCCCGCCCCACAGAAAGTGCTCTTCCCCGTGGAGCGGCTGTCTCTGAAGTGGGAGCGCGTCTACCGTGTGGGGGCCGGACTGCACAACCTCGGCAACACGTGCTTCCTGAACTCGACCGTGCAGTGCCTGACCTACACGCCGCCACTGGCCAACTACCTGCTCTCCCGGGAGCACGCGCGGAACTGTGAGTGACTGTGAGCGGGGGCGGGCGGTGCTCTCGAGTCCCCGGAGCGGCAGCCTGCGCATGAAACAGACCCATGCGCTGGTGGCGCTCCCACGCGCAGCCCAGACCAAACTCGGGTGACGTTCACGACACCTAGTAACCGGTAACCTTCAGTTGTGCCCGCTGCCAGGCAGGCTGTGGAAGTGAGTCACTCAGGCAGAGAGATGGTCTCCAGGCTTTTCCAAACGTCGTTGCCCAAACAGAAAAGGGTTTTCAAAGGGCACCTCCAAATACAGGGTGGGGTAAAAGCAGGTTTGCAGTTGTTTCTATGAAAAATAATACAGTAATTAATTAATAGTAATACAAGAATAAACTGCATTTTGTGCACTCTCAACTGTAAACCTCCTTTTGCCCTACCCTGTATGTATATTCATTTATTTTATATACCTATCATATTGGTGTTTTATCGACGAAGAAATTAAATCAGTAGTTGAGAATCTTCCCACAAAGAAAACTCCAGACTGAGATGATTTACAGATGAGTTTTATGAAATTTTTAAGACTGAGATTGTTCCGATGCTTCCCATGCTCTTCTGGAGAGTAGAGGAGGAGAGAGGGCTCACCCGCTCATTCCCTGAGGTTTTTATAGCTTGGGTAACAAAATTAAACACAAGGTGAGAAAGAGAAATTATAGTCTCCTCTTATTCAGGAACACAGATAATCGAATTCACACAAAATTCATTAATCTTTTAAGCACCACGAGCAAAGCGTGCTCATCCTAGGAGCGCAAGGACGTTCTACTGCAGCGGGTCTCCGAGGCTAACCGTGGGGGGCAGCCCAGTGCTTGCCAGCACAGCTCTGGGGCTGCCCGCCGGCTCTGCTTCCTGATTCTGCATCTGTGAGGTCGCCACCCGGCCTCCTCGAGCTGCCCACCCCCCCTGCAGCGGTCAGATCGCCTCCCTTGTAGCGCAGGTGGGGGCGCACTGGGGTCACAGGGGGCATGTAGGGCCGGGCTTGGCGCGCAGTGCGCGCTGTGTGAGCAAGCGCCCGCTTCGCTGCCTGAGTGACTCTTACCGTCTTAACAGATCAAGAGAAAAGTCACTTGAAAACAGGAGCCAAAAAAGTACTTTATGATAAATTCGTAGCCAAGTAGCAACAGAAGGGAGTTTCTGTATCTCGATAGACAGGAAAACTACAAAACAGCATCTGTGTAGGAAAACCTTGCAAGCGCGCCCCTTAGCCTGAGCCGCGCCCCAAGGACGCTGTGGTCAGCGCCTCTGTCCAAGAGGGCTGGTCCTGGCCGGAGCGGAGGCGGGAGGAAGAACGAGGAGTGACGCTATTGCCACACTCCTGCATAGGAAAGCAAAAGAAGCTGTTGGCAGATCAGAAAGTTGGCCGCCTGACCAGATCTATGACATTAATACTCACAAAGTTGGTTGGATTTCTCTCTACCAAACAAGCTGTAAAAAAATTGCTAGTGTAAAATGATTTATAAGAGCAACAACAATGACAGAGTATTTAGACCTAGATTCACGGAGATGTGTATGGAAAGCCGTTACCACAGGGCGTTGTGGGGTCACCTGCTGGCACGGAGGGAGGTCTCAAGGGCCTGCAGTGTTGGTTCTCCCCGGTTTAATGCAGCAAATGTAGTTAAAGTCACTCTAAGATATTCTCAAATTTATACGGAAAAGGGAAGCAAAGGACCAAATATCACCACGACACCTTCGAAGAAGAATCCCAATTGCAAAGTCTTCTTGTGATGGTGGAGAAGTGAACGTGGAGTATTGGGTCAGGGAGAGACGCTGACCAGTGGGTTAGAACAGAGAGCCCAGAAACACATATTTGGAAACGTAGTATTAATATGCCAGTTTTTCACATACACATATACGTGTGTCTCCATTTTAAATAAATACAACTTTAAAAAAAAACAACTTGGGTTTACATGTGGAAGGAATAAAATAGGTTTCCCACGATTCGGCATACACATGCACAAAGGACTGAAAACACTGTGTCCAAAGTAAAAGGTGACGCTTCTGTAACAACCGTGGACAAACATTTCCCTGACCCTGGGAAGGGAGACGTCTGACTTGGAACTCAGGTGCTGGCCGTGACCGAAATCACTGATGCATTCAGCTGCCTTAACATTAAGAACTTTTGTTCATGAAGAAAAAAACCACTTTAAATTAAAAGGCCACAGAGTGGGAGACGAAACCTGGGATTGGTACCGAGAAGCAAGTGAAGAACGACAGGAGCAGCAAGGAAGGACATTAAGTATTTTAAAAACAGATAAAAATCATGCACAGGCACCTTCCAGAAGAGGAAACCACTGGCCAGGAAGCACCGGGAAAGGTGTGCGCCTCACCGGTCACCTGCGGACGAGGGGGCGCCTGCAGGACCCCGTGGCACGCTGCACCCAGTCGTGGGCGCGGGCGCGGGCGCGGGAGCCTGCAGCCGACAGTGGGTTGGAAGGTGCGGGTCAGTGAGATTCTCTGTGTCCTCCCGGGCTGAACGGGCCTGACCCGGGCGGGTCCTCCTCAGCCTCCCGTGAACCGGGCTCTGTTACACGTCATTTTGTTCAAAGTCTCAGAATCCGCTGGCCACGTGGAGGACTTTCTGTACTTTGAAAAACCACCTGACGTTCTCCTTCAAACAGTGTGCTGCCCAGCAGTTCTACAGAAAAGCTCAGCCACGTGTGAACCAGGAGCACAGGCGGGCGGTGGCCTGTTGGGGGCCCATGTGGGAGCTGGAGGGGCCAGGGTCGGCCCCCCAGGGAGAGGAAGGAGACCTCTGCTCCGTGCATGTCCTGCCTCGCCCCGAAATGTCGTAACTGTGACTTCTGAGCTTTCTCAGAGTGCGATGCAGTCAGACGCCTCGGTGGGCCTCGCCCCCCCGAACAGGCACATGAGGGTTCTCGGGTGCTGAGAAGTACCCCCGGAACCCGACAAGGCCCGCTGGCCTCGGAGTGCCGCACGCAGGTCTGGCCGCGAGCCTGGGCCACGCCTGTGCCCGGGCAGAGCGGGAAAGAGACGCTGTCTGGCTCCCAGGAGGGCTACGCCCTGTCCGTAGCCCGTGCTGCCCACGTTCGAGCAGCGGAGCCCCACGCTGTGGCCGCGCATGGCGCTTCTCTGCATTGCCGATGCAAGTGCTCATCCCCATGATGCTCGCTCTGTGTGACCAGGGACTTGGAAGCCCTATTTCTACTGATTCTGGCTGAAACTGTCACTTGCCCTACTTAGGGGGGATGCTTCCTGGGCTCGGGCCTGCAGCACTTCCCGCAGCGGGCAGGAGCTTGACCTCCGGCCACGCCCGCAGCCGCCTCCTGGCCCGAGTCTGGGCTGGGGAACGGGCTCTTCATCCCACGCTTGTGAAGGCTCGGCGCTAAGTCATTGTCAGTGCCATTTGCTTTTTGCCTAAATTTGAGCCCCCTCCACATTTCTTGTTTTTAAAATAAAAGTAGTAAATGGGTGTGTCTAGAAGAGTCAAGAAAACTCCAAAAGGAAAAATAGAAGCCTCCCCTTTACGTAAAGGTGAGCACACAACTGCGTTTTTGATGTTCTTCCAAGGAGAACTTTTTGTATAAATACTAGTATATTTTATTTATCAAAATTAAGACTCTTTGTGTTGTGATAAATACGCGTAACATGAAACTTACCACGTTGAAGTGGGCGGTGGCATTAGTCACGTTCCCACTGTCCTGCAGCCACCACCCCATCACCTCCAGAACCCGGCCGTCTTCCCAGATGGGAGCTCTGTCCCCGGGAGACGCTCCCTCCCGGCCCCTCCCCTGGCGCCCATCGTCCCCTCGCTCTCCGCGAAGCTGACTCCTCCGGGGGCCTCGCGTCAGTGGGGTCGCACAGGGTTTGCCCCTCTGCGTCTGGCTGCCGTCGCCGAGCACCGTGCCCTCCGGGCCCCGCCTGCCTTGGCAGGGCCGAGCAGCCCGTTGTGCGTATGCCCCGGGCGCCGGCCGGGCCCCCGCCGACGGACGCGCAGGCTGCCGCCGCACTGCGCCCCCGTGACGGCGCTGTGGGCGTGGGCGTCCAGGCCGCTCCCCCGGAGCCTGCGTTCGGCCTTTGGTTCTTGTGTTGCACACCCAGACGTGGAATTGCTGGGTCACGTGAGAATTCTATTTTTAATTTTTTGAGGAACTGCCAACTGTTCTCCACAGTGACTGCACCATTTCAGGCCCCCAACAGAGCGCCAGGGGTCCCAGTTCCCCCACATCTTTGCTGACCCGTGTTCTCCGTTTGTAAACACTGGCATTTTGTCTACACAGTCAACAGGCCACGTGCTGCTTCGTCCCTGACTGTGAGACGGGCCTCGGGAACTGGGTCACCGGAGCCACTGACGGGGAGACAGACCAACTGGTCTTGGCTCGGGGGCCTGGAGCGGGTCTGTCTGCAGAGGCAGCGCCATATGCGAGGCAGCAGTGTCCCCGGTGCTGCAGGGACGTGCCGCCTGGGAGACGAGGCCCCACACACATGAGGACACGAGCGCAGGGCTGCCCAGGGCAGCGTGGTTGGTGGCAGCGGGGGAAGCAGGGTTAGCGTTCCCTGGTGGGGGCAGGGTGTTACGCACTGTGCCTCTCTGCCCTGGGAAGTCCTCGGGGGCGGGTGAGGGCCCGGCGTGGGCTGGCAGGACTGAACTGCGGGCTGTGGAGTGACAGGCACCGCGGCCCCAGTCGGTGGAAAGGGAGGGGACCCCCAGTGGCAGGGCTGGCCACTGTCTGCGGTACGCACGTGTGTTCAGACGCCAAGGGCGTTCGCGGGCAGTGGGCCCAGCTCAGGCTACTGGTTTTCTCTGATGGGGCAGGGGACAGGGCTGGGAAGTGCCGGAGGGACGGTGAGCTATCACACCAGTGTTTCTCTTGGGAAACACCTGTGGTGGGGGGGAGTCGGGGGCAGGGATGCTCTTTCTGCTTCTCTTTGTAGTTAAATACGTCATAATTTTAAATAAAGGTAAATCGCATCAGTGAGGAGGAACAAGTAACAGGCTTGCCTGTGGGGTCGGCCGCTGCCGCCGTCGGTCACTGTCTGCGCCTCGGGGCCGTCGTTGGCAGGGCTGTGGTCCGGCTCCGGGTGCCCGGCGGGGCGGCCTGCAGATGGGGCCTGCTGGCCACCTGGGGCTCCGCAGAAGCGTCCCGAGCCCCAAGGGGAGCGGCATCGTCTCCCCGAAGCCCCAGGGCGGGATGAGGGTGCCGGGAAGCCCTGCCAGTCGAGCCTGTGGGCTGGGCGATGGAGCTGGGAAGGGAGAGAGAGCGTTTCCCCAGGCTTCACTGTGGGCATCCCTTACTCTCTTTGTGAGCAAACACACGAAGGAACTCTGAGAAGGACCTACAGAGGTCAGCAGGCGAAGCCCGGGCCACGGGGCGAGTTAGGGGCACACCCCTGGCGGGTTGTCGCGGCCACCACAGGACCTGGAGCTCTGGCTCCGCTGCGCTTCCCCAGCTTCCTCTCTCGGTCACGGGGAGGGGGACGCCCTCCTGTCACCGCCTCGTCCCTCTCTGCAGGTCACCAGGGGGGCTTCTGCATGCTGTGCGTCATGCAGAACCACATGGTCCAGGCCTTCGCCAACAGCGGCAATGCCATCAAACCCGTGTCCTTCATCCGGGACCTGCGAAGTAAGTGGGTCCTTACTGCCTGCGGCTCCACAGCGGGTGCTGGGCAGCGGGAGGGAGGAAGCGGTGCCCTGAAACTTGGCCGGACAGTGGCGTGGCCGGCGGAGCTGGCGGTGCACAGGGAGGGGCAAGGTGTCGTGGGCGGGCAGGTGGCCGTGAGGAGAGCTGGGCGATGGTGCTGACCACCTGCCGTCCAGGTCCACTGTCCCTCCCGCCGGCGGGACAGTGAGGTAGCTGGCTTTTGAAACCTGCTTAGGGCGCAGCATTAACCCATCTGTGTGGCGTCGGCTCCAGGAACGCCGGTCACTGGGTGGATTCCCAGCCTCAGTGCCGGGCGTCCTGAGGCGTCTGCGCGCTCCCCTCAGTGCGGAGCTCTCAGTCTCGCTGAGCAAGGCTCGTCCTGGAGCCGGGAGTGGCCATCGCTGCACAGGGCTCGGTTTCTCCCTGGCCCCTTCAGAGGCCTGCTGCGCGCGCCTCCTCTCGCCTGATGGCTGCCCCTTTCCTCCGCAGAGATCGCCCGGCACTTCCGCTTCGGGAACCAAGAGGACGCGCACGAGTTCCTGCGCTACACCATCGACGCCATGCAGAAGGCCTGCCTGAGCGGCTGCGCCAAGTGCGTGCCCTGCCCGCCCCTCGCCCCTCGCCCCTCCCCGGGGTCCCCCCTGCCCCCTGTGCGCCCAGGCCCTCGACCTGCTGAAGCCCCGCCGAGGAGCCGCCGCCTCTCCTGGTTCCCGCCCCCACCCAGGGCGCAGCGGCCGGACCAGGCGGTGGCCACACTGTCCCCCGACTCCGTGGAGGGGTGGCTTCAGTGGATCTTGGGGCCTTCACTCTGGAGGTTTCCTCCCTTTTTAAAATCTCCCCATTATTTTGACCTGGAGGACCGGCGGTAGGAACTACAATGCTTTTATGAGGATTTTAAAAACACGCAGGAAAATGAGGGTAGGAAGTGGATAATTTTTGACACATCACTCTGCCCAGTGACGTTTCCTAATTTCAACTTGGTAAGCGGGTGGCACGTTGACAACTTCGGGTCCTTTTGTGAAAGAGCCGCTGTCACGAAGGCTTTGTGTCATTCCTGGGTCTCTGGGTTTTGACGAGAGAGAACAGGCGGGAACGGGGTCCCGCTTCGTGGCTGGTGCCGGCGCCCGGAGCGGGAAGCTGCACTGGTGCTAGCGGCGGCCGTTGGTGCTGCAGTGGGGACCGCCCGGGGCTTAGTGCCTGGGGGATGTGGCTGGGCCGGCAAGTCTGCGGGGGCAGGTGCCGTAGGATGTGACTTCCGGTTCTGCGGGTGGGCGCAGCGCGTTGCGTCTTCGCAGCGGGCAGAGCCACCTGGGAGCCCTTAGGACTGCGCGAGCCCGGGCCTGCGCCAGGGGCGGGAGCGAGCCTCCCTGGAGGCGGGGGAACAGGGGGGATGGGGGCGGGGGGCGGCGGGGAGGCACGGGTGCCTTTTGCGCTTGGGCTGAGTGCGGGGCGGAGTCCAGGTTTGCGGTCGGGGCAGCTGGTAGGTGCGGCGGGCCACGCTCGGCACCGGGGCCCAGAGTCGGGCACGTGCAGGTGGGGCGGCGAGGGGGTCACATTGCGTGACCCAGGCATGGCCGGCCTGCGCAGGGAGTGAGGGCTGCCGAGCACCCGCTCGCGGGGCGGGGAAGTGAGAAAACAGCGGAGCAGTCGGAGCTGCGCCTGGGGTGACACGTGCAGTCCTATGGGCAGGGGAAAGGGCCTTTTTGTTCTTTAACCTTGAACTTGCGAACAGACTGTAAGGTTTCTGCTTCTGGGAGCTTTCTGACGCCCCCTCTGTGAACGTAGGCTGCGTGCCCGCGCTGGGCGTGGCATCCTCCGCGCGTCTGTCCGTGAGTCCCGCACTGTCCTCCCGCTGTGTGTCTGCTGCGCCCTGCGTCCTGGGTCTCTCCCGGCCTCCCTGCGGCCCCCGTAGCGGCTGCTCTATAAGCTGTTGTGGTTGGACGTTCACCGCCCCCACGTCTTCACGGAGATTGGCAGCTGTCAGCATCCCAGGGTGCCCTGTGCTTGGTCCCCGTGCCTGCCGGGAACGCAGCCGCGCCTTCGACCGCCGCTGGGCTGCTGAAGTGCTGCGCTCCTGGCGTGCCTGGGGGCGGCTTGCTTTGGGAGCCAGGCTGGAAATGTTTCTGTTATAGGCAGGTTCAGCCCCTGACATTGATTGCCGTGACTGAAGCTTGGTCTTGACTTTGCCATTTTATTTTATGACAATTACAGAAAGTGCATTGACTCTGTTTCCTTCTTTGCCTGATTTGCCTCTGCTTGTTCATGTCAGGCTCCCGTTTGGCGTTCAGGAAGACCTGTATTTTGTTCCTCCTTCCACCGCTAAATCTTGATCGCATTGTTTCTTACTTTGTTGGAACAGACAAGATTTGTCGAAGTCCCCTGATGTTGGTCCCCGCCTCTGCTTCTGTGTCGCAGCGTGGCCACCCCAGGCAGCTGGTCCCCTCTCTCCTCCTTGTGATGTTAGCATTTGATCGTTCGCTCAGCAGCCTTCTGGGTCTGATTGCATTCTTTACAGTCTGATGGTTTCTCTAGGAACAGCCTGGAGCTGGTTGCTGGCCACTTGTCCTAGATATCAGGCCCCGGCCGGGGACAGAGGGTGACGGGTGGAGAGTGACTCTGGAATCGTGTGGCCAGGAACGTGTTCTCACTGGGCAGCATCGCCATATCTGAGCGCCCGCCCCCCGCTGCCACCGCCGTCCCAGTCAGCCCTGCTCCTCGGCTGAGCCCTGGGAACGGTCGTGCCCTGGAAACGGCGCAGGAAGTCAGGCTGACGCCCTCCGGTGGTGCAGCGGGTGTCCCCCTTCCACGTGGCTTCTCTGTGAGGTTTTTACGGTCCATCGTCTGTTGCTGGGGAAGGTGACCTTTGGCTGGCGTGGCTGCTGATTGGAAAGCGATTCTCACCTTGGGGACGTGCACGGCTGTCAGCCTGGAAGTTTTTCTCGTGTGCTGGTTTTGTGTGTTTGAGGACACGTTACCTTGTCAAGGTCTCAGGTCACTGAGACCTGTCACCTGCGCCCTCGCCGGGACCTGGTATCCCTCCCCAGTCCTCTCTGCAGCATCGTCCCTGGGTTGTTATGGGGAATCTCTTCTCTACTGGACACCTGGTACTTCAGCCTTCATTTCTGACCCGATGCTTTTTTCCCCCACCTGTTTCCTGAGTTCAATTAGCTTTCTCTTTAAAAAAAAAAAAAAAAAGATTTTATTTATTATTAACGAGGGGACGGGAGGGAGAAAGATAGGGAGAGAAACATCAGGATGTGAAACATCGATAGGTTACCTCTTACGTGCCCCCAACTAGGGATCTGGCCTGCAACCCAGGCAGGTGCCCTGACTGGGAATCGAACCAGCGGACCTTTTGGTTCGCAGGCCGGCACTCAGTCCACTGAGCCTCACCAGCTGGGGCTAACTTTCCCTTTTTTGCTTCTATTTCTACTTCTAAAATTTCTCACTCAAGGTGGTTTTCCATTTCCCCAAATGCTTGTGCCTCAGCTGGGAGTTTTGTGTTGTTCTTTTTTTCCACTTGGTGCTTGTTTTCTGGGGGCTGATTTTCACCCGTGAGGTGTTCGCTTCTGGTTTTTCAGGCTGTTTTCATTTGCCCCTTGAATTTGGGGACTGGCCCAGTTGTTAGCCCGGGCGCCCCCTCCTGCCAGTGCTGGGAAGTGCACTTTGTGGTGGAGGCAGCAGGCTGGACGGCTGCATATTGTCATAGTTTTTCAGGCCCCGAGTTCCCCTTACCTTCCTTGTTCTCCAGCACCCGGTTCCCTGGGGGGCCCGCCTGCCTGTCTGCCGCCACCCAAGAGTCACCATCTCCCGACCGCCTCCCCAGCCGCACCCTGGTGCCCAGGGTCTCAGAGCCACGCACTTTATGGGCTTCCACGGCGCAGCGGGAGCTTTCCTGTGACACGGCGGGCCACCGCTGGCCCCGTCTCTGCCTCGCGCAGTGTTCCCCGGACCTGCCTTGGTGTTCACTGAGGCTGGGGTGGGATCACTGAGGTGGCCTGCTGGGGCCTGGCTTCGATTTAACATCTGCACCTTCTCTGTCAGGCTGCCCCGAGAGAGGCGCTGTGGTCTCTCCACTCTGGTTCCAGCCCGCGTTACCGGGCGGCCTGGTGGCAGCTGCCATCACAGGAGCTGCTCTGAGGTTGCTCGTGGCCTTGCTAGTCGTTGGAGTTCAGCGTCCCTTCCGTTGATGAATCACGGAGGTAGTAGGGGGTGGCCGTTCGTTTTCCATTCCCTGACATTGCAAAGACCTCGGTGACTCTGTTGGTCGCCCACGTGTTTTGGAGTTGTTTTCCCCAGTGAGCCCCCCTGAGCCTAGCAACCCTGCCGTCAAAGTCACAGGCTCTGGGCGGGGAGCTGAGACTCGGTGCCGTCGGCGCCCTCTGCTGGTGGCGGGAGGCCGTGTGCACGTACCTGCGTGCGTGCACGCGCGTGTGCGGAGTTCTCCGGGCGGCTGCGTGTGGTGAGGGGGGCCCCAGCTGGGGAGCCCCAGACGTGTCTGGAGAGCGGGGCAGGTGCCAGGTGGAGGGGACACTTGTCCTCGGAGGGACTGGGCCACACTGAGCGCTGCCGCAGTGCCCCCGGGAGAGTCTTCAAGGCTGACTGGCCTTGCGTCCTGGAGGTCTCAGTGGCCCCGAGGAACCAGCCAGGCAGGTTCAGCGGGTTGCAACTGAAAACCGGGGCAGATGCCAGTTGTGTGTTGCTTCCAGAACCTTCCTTACATGAGTAGTGGCGACGTCCAGGCGCTGTGCTGTAGTTAGTAGACGGGCGGGGGGGGTTTGCAAGCAGGTTTGCCTGCTCCTGAGCCCACGCCTGGGACCACCGCTGTCCTGCTGAAAGGGGTACCCACATGGGGATTTTGTCCCAGATAAGAGGCTAGTACGGCCAGTCGAGAGGAGGCGGAGACCATCAGGGCTGAGGCCAGTGAGCAGACAGGTGGGAGGAGCGAGGTCACTGCTGGGAGGGACGGAAGGGGGTCCCAAAGGCTTAAGGGGATGGTTGTGGGGAGCGGGCTGTGTGCATCAGAGCGGTTCAGAGAGACCCCAGACGCCACTGGGGTTCTGCTGGGACTCAGGCCGAGTGCGCCAGACTCCAGGTTGCGTGGGGAGCAGGCCTGGCCCTGGCCAGGCTGGCGGTGAGACGGGAGGGTGCGGGCGGGGCCGCGGGGCCTGCTCTGCCGCCGTTCGCTTGAAGGCTCCTGGCCTCCTTTCCAGGCTGGACCGTCAAACGCAGGCGACGACTCTGGTCCATCAGATTTTTGGAGGCTACCTGAGGTCGCGTGGTAAGTGGAGACCTTTCTGTGCCGCTTCTTGTTGAAGACTAGAAGGCCGACCTGGAGACGCGGAGAGCGAGCGCCCAGGCGGGCCCCTCCCTGGCAGGCAGGCCCCGAGGCAGGAGCCCACTCTCCGAGCCGCGCCCTCGTTCGGAGAGTGGGCACGGTGCCAGGGGGGTTTGCAGCGGAGCATCCAGCGCGTGTGGAGTGAGAGCGGCGTCACTCGCCCTCAGCCCCTTAGTCCCTCCGGTGGGACCTCTGCCTTCAGCTGGGCAGCGCGCGCCCACAGAGGCCGCGGGGTCGTCCCGGGCAGGCGCCCCGTCTCTGGGCCACCCTGGGTTTGATGTGCGTCTCCTTGTGGACTTGGGTGCCAGTGAGCTCGCCTTCCGGTGCCCGGTCCTCGGGCTGGCTTGCCGAGAGGACCTCCCTGCTCTAGGACTCTGACCCCTGGTGGTGGCCGGGGACCCCTGGGCGTGGCGGCCGGGGACCCCTGCAGCCGCCCACCTCCTCTCTGTTCCGCTGCAGTGAAGTGCTCCGTGTGCAAGAGCGTCTCGGACACCTACGACCCCTACTTGGACGTGGCCCTGGAGATCCGGGTACGGGCGGTGGCTGTGTATGCGTGAGGCCCTGGGGACAGAGGGCGAGATCCCCAACCACAAACCCAGCCGGGGCACGTGGTCCAAACAGAGCAGGCAGAAATACTTAGAATCCTTGTTCCTCAGAGTAGGAGTGGTCATTGTCGCATGTTTCCTTCTAGCCTTTTTTCTATGCACTTCTTTCCACTTAAAAAATTAAAAGACAAAACGCGGTTGTGCCCTGAGGCGTGGCGGCGGCCTGGGGCTGAGAGCAGACCGGCGGCCGGCCCACCTCGTGGTCCTCTCTGTGGGGAAGGCAGGGCGACGCTGCTGCCCCGCCCCGGGGTGGCGGGTTTCCAGTCCTAGAAGGTGGCAGCGCGCAGGCCAGTTTCATGCAAGTGGAGGGCTGGGGTTTGCTGCCTCAGCCTGAAAAAGGCCTCACATCTGGCGTTTCTGGAGGAAGCCTTTTTCTTCTGCTGTTTAGTCTGGTCCTGATTTTTGTCTTTCTCAGCAAGCTGCAAACATTGTGCGCGCTCTGGAGCTGTTTGTGAAGCCAGATGTCCTGAGTGGAGAGAACGCCTACATGTGCGCTAAGTAAGTTTTGATTCACTTGTGGCCAAGCAACCAGGGCGGCAGAGAGACAGAAAAGCCACCTAGCCTGACCCTGCCACTTGTCCCCTCCCAGCTACCTCCCCTGGAGGTGACCCAGCTCACGTCTCCTGCATCCTGCTTGTATGTCTTTTGGCTCAGAGCCTCTCCAGGGCGCAAACACAGCGGCCTCGTGGCCGGCAGCTCCGCAGCACGCTCTGTGCTGGGCCGGGGCGAGCGCCCGCGGCCACGTGCTGTGGAGGCTGCATTCCGCAGCTTCTGGTCCTCAGGCTTCCTCGGCATTTTTCCATTTCAGCAGGTGCAGCTCTGACCCCGTTCTGTTGAGGTCGAGCAGTCTCAGTGTGTGGGTGTGTTGGTTGCTTTGTATTTAGGTCATTTAAAGGCTGCGAAGAACAGTTTCCCTCATTTTGCTGTCCTCGGTTCCCTGCGACAGCTCCGCCTCCGTCCCCAGGGCGGGCGTGCTCTTCGCGATGCGGGAGGCACCAGTGTCGCCCGAGACCTCCTGCCATGGCAGCTCAGTGTGCCCACTGACCTGCTGACCTGGTGTGGGGACAGCTCCTCGGACAGGCACTGACCCCCGCTGCCCTCCCTCAGGTGCAAGAAGAAGGTGCCCGCCAGCAAGCGCTTCACCATCCACAGGGCCTCCAATGTCCTGACCCTGTCCCTCAAGCGCTTCGCCAACTTCAGCGGCGGCAAGATCACCAAGGTGAGTGCCGGCTGCCGGACAGAGCGCCCAGGGGCTGCGCATCCCGCACAGTCAGGGTCAACAAGCGCCGTCTGACTGGATTTTTCCCCCAACCTCCGCCTGTGCTCGGGGTGTTCCTGATGGGGGGTGTCCGGGTTTCCCTAAGAATAACTGAGATGCCCTGACTGGTGTGCCGCAGCGGGTTGGGCATTGTCCTGCAAAGTGGAAAGTCACAGGTTCGATTCCTGGTCAGGGCTCGTGCCCGGGTTGTGGGCTCAGTCCCCAGTCAAAGCGCGTGTGAGAGGCGACCGATGGGTGTTTCTCTCCCTCCCTTTCCCCCTCCCTTCCCCTCTCTCTAAGAATAAAGAAATACAGCATTTTTTAAAGAAGAGTAGGTATGATGAACGTGGGGCTGTGGAGTTCTGACCCTCCGTGTCCTGTTCGTCTGCAGAGCAGGTGCACTTGCGTGCTATGGCTTTTTGGGGAATGGAGGATGACCTTTCCTTTTTACACAATGGCGTTGTCACAGAGGTCGTGCTGCGTAACGGCCTGGAAGTCCACTCGCAGTTGTTAGAGCTTTGGCCACGGTGTGGGGCCCCGCACGCCCCTGAGCCTCGGCTTTCCCGCCGGCAGTGCGGGGGCCTGCTGAGGCCAGCGTTTCCCTAACTGATGTCCTGCAGGACATTAATACTGTCCTTTGAAAGAGTGTGTTCCGCGCTCAGCTGCATTTTGGAAAGGCCGACGATTCTTTCTATTCGCAGGCCTTCTCCAGGCCTGTAGTAAGCCGTGTGGCATTTTGACCTCCCAGAGGGAAATTTAGTATGAAGACGTAAGTCTCTGAGCTGAGCTGTCTGGGAGGTCGTTCATCCGTTCATTTTCCTAGTGCTCACGCGCTTGCTTTGCGCTGCGCCCCGCGAGGCATAGGGCGTCCGTGGGAAGTAGTTGGGCGCGCGGGCTGTGTGCGGATGTGCCCGGAGGCGCTCGTGGAACCAGCTTCCGGCCGGAACACAGTCTGAGGAGCGCCAGCCTGCTGGCCCGGGGTGTGCGAGCCTGGGGGCTGGGGCTGGGGGCGGCTTTTGAGACTGGAGCTCGGCATCAGAAGGAAGAAGATACGTCAGGAGGTATCACAGACGTCACATTGGTTTGAGGAAGCCAGACGCAGAGAAGTGCACACAGTAGGACTGCAGCTGGATGAAGCTCAAACAGGCAAAACTGGTCAGGAGTGGCAGAAGTCGGAACAGGGGAGCGTCAAGGCTGGGGCACCCGCGGGCACGCGCGGATTTTTCAGGTCGATGCCTGTGTCTTGACAGGAATGTGGGTCACAGTATGCACTTGTAAAACCCATTATACTGTGCACCTGGGAGCCGCGCATCACACGCTGCGTGGATTGTACTGTATTAACAAGTCTCTGTGTGTAGGCAGATACACAGGTATGGTACCTCTCCCGTTATTTATCGAAAGATAATTTTAAGAAATACCTTCCTATGAAAAATTGTCAGTTTCTGAAATAAACTTTGACATGACCTTTACGATCCACTGGTTTAAAGGTCATTTACTATGGCCACTGGCTCTGCGGGGCCAGCACCTTTGTTCCTGAAGTCCCAACCCCGCATCTCCTCACCTCCCCGCCCTACACACGCGGGGCCTGTGGAGAGGCGGGGAGGACAGGGAGCGACTTCTCATTTAGGAAAAGGCACTCACTGCTCCGAGTTTTCCAGTGTCGGCTGAGGGAGGCCCCGCCAGCCAGCTGCATGCTGGTCGCCGCGGGCGCAGGGCCGGCCCCGGGAGATGGAGAGGCGAGCAGGCCCGGCTCCAGCGACGAGTGTTAACCGCCTCTGGCCTGGCCTTCACACAGGACGTGGGCTACCCGGAGTTCCTGAATGTTCGCCCATACATGTCGCAGAGCAGTGGCGAGCCTGTCATGTACGGGCTGTATGCCGTCCTGGTGCACTCAGGCTACAGCTGCCACGCCGGCCACTATTACTGCTACGTGAAGGTCGGTGGCGGCGCCGCGTGGGCGGGGTGTGGCGGGGCGCGGCGGGCTGGCAGGCAGTTTGCCCGAGGGCAGGGGCACCCCGCTCTGCGCGGGCATTCGGGTCCTCGCGCCACCTCAGTGCGCGGAGGGCAGAGATGCCGCTGAAACCCGTCCCGCCGGACCCGAGCTGTTCTCAGCCGCGCGGGGGCGGGGCGGGGGGCTCTGCGGGGGCCGCTTCCGGGGCCCTGGCTGGAACCCGAGACGCCTCGGGGAGGCCGAATGTTGGTGGGAGACGCCGTGCAGACCAGAGCTGCCGACCTGTCCCTCGGGAGGGAAAGCTTGGGCCCCTGGCACCAGGATGAGGGGGCTCAGAGCGCACAGGGGGTCACAGTCGAGCTGGACAAACGCCAGACGCCCCAGGGTGGAACCGTTGCTAGTTAATCAGCACGCGGATGTGCGTGGCGATGGACGGCAGGTTCTGTATTCCCTTTTTTAAAAGGGTTACGGAATGTCTGGTTTCTATTTTTCTACCCCACACCCTGTGCCGCTCCAGGCAAGCAACGGCCAGTGGTACCAGATGAACGACTCCTTGGTCCATTCCAGCAACATCAAAGTGGTTCTGAACCAGCAGGCCTACGTGCTCTTCTACCTGAGGTAATGCATGCCCTGCCCGCCCCCGCCTCCACAGGCCTCCCCAGCCCCCTGCCCGGCCATTCTGCCAGCCAGGGTGCGGGCTGGTCCCCTGGCGGCTGAGTAAAAGCCAGAGCCTCCGGGAAGGCCAAGGCAGGGTTCTGTCGGCCCCGCTGAGGTGACTGTGAGTGCAAGAGGGAAGCCACCTGTCCTCTTCGCGCCCCAAGGTGGGGGAGATGCGGGCGGCCGGCACACCTCCCTCTGTGTGCAGAGCGCCCACGGCGGGCGGGGAAGCGGTCGTCCTGTCGGGAGGGAGGGGCTCGGTCGTGGGAGGCCGCAGTGGCGTCCTTGGGAAGGCGCCTTCCTTGGGGCCCGCTGTCGCCGGCCCGGGCGCTGCAGAGCGTGGAGACGGAAGGCGCTTTTGTGGCTTCACGCGTGTCCTGCTGCGGTAGGATGAGGCGCTTGAGGTGCCTTGGCTTTCTGACCGATGGACTCTGGTCTCGGAAGAGCTCTGACCGCAGTTTGCCCTCTGCCTGTGCTGAGCCGGTGCCCAGGCTGCGCAGCAGCGTCAGGGGTCTGAGGGCAAAGCGGATTTCAGAGACGCACGTCCGGAGGGGCCAGGCTCTCCCTGGCTGCATTCCCCTCTCCCCCACCTTTTTAACAAAATTGTAACCTTGAATGTAATTTGTTTTGACTCCTTCTCACGCTGAGTTTCCGTGATGTGTGTGCAGCTTCTCTAAGGGACCCCCGGCCTGTTCTCTCTCTGGCAGGGTCCCGGGCCCCAAGAAGTCCCCCGAGGGCACCGTCTCCAAGGCAGGCTCCTCCCTCGCCAGCCGCCCCTGCGTCATTCCCGACCACGTCAAGAAGGGTGTTAGCAACGGGACTGGCTCGTCGCCCCCGGCTGGAAAGGTACCCCGTCGGCCGGATCCGGGTCTGTGCCGCAGGTCGGCCCCCCACACCTGTGCCTTGGGGGCGTGGACACCCCAGACCTCTGCCTGCTGGGGGCCTGGCCCAGCGACTGGAGAGGCAGACTGGCCTGCCTGCTCCGGGTTTACTCTAAGTTGGCCATCAGCCGACACAGGGTGAGCAAACCAAATGATGACCCAGCAAATCCCGGCTAAGTCACGGCGTGGCCCCAGCTTAGAGCAGCTGCCATGCAGAAGCACAGCGGCAGGTTCGCTGAGCAAGCATCTGGGAGAAACATGGTTTAGCCTCACTTTTTTTTCTCTCTTTTTAAAATCGTCACTCGAAAACATGTTTATTGATTTTAGAGAGAGAGAGAAACATTGATTGCTTACCTCCCATGGGGGGATCAAACCCGCAGCCTAGGTGTGTGCCCTGACCAGGGATCAAACCCACACCTTTTGGTATAAGGGACAATGCTCCAACCAATTGGGCCACCTGGCCAGGGCTGTCCTCACATTTTAAAACCGAAAGGGTGAGTAGTTTGTACCAACGTTAACTTCCTGATTTAATCATTACACTGTGGTTACGTTGAGAGGCCCTTATTCTTAGGAATGCACCCAGATGTATTTAAGGGTAAAAAGGTATCATGTCTAAAATTTACTCAAATGGTTAGAAATACACATGTACAGAGAGAGAAGGAGGGAGGGAGAGAGAACATGCTAATGTAGTAAAACATTAGCAATTAGGAAATACCCTTGAAGTTATTTTAGTGTGTATTTGAAACTTTCTACTAAAAAAGTTCAACTCAGTTTTACTAAGAAAGTAATGAGCGATATAAAGGACTCACTCAAGCGACTTAAAATCACTCTGTCGCCTGTGTGAAGGATACCAGTGTCGAGGTGATGAGAGCTACACTGAGACCCAATTAATGGATATTTTGGAAAAAACACTCGCGGTGAGAGCACAGCAAGCACAGTGCGTCGGTGTGAGTCTCAGTTCATGGAACCGGGCAGGGCCCAGCCATTCCGTGTCCGGAAAATGAGCCTGGGCTGTTAATGCTGGGAAAGGCGCGGTCTTCCGGTGGTTCCCTCAACAAACGGTTTTAAGCCCAGGCACCGCAAGACCCGGAGCTGGCGGGGAGGGCTGCAGCGGCGGGCAGTCCGCGTCCGGGCCTGGGGGCCTTTAAACCCTGAGCTGGCGGCCGAGACATGTCGTCGCGACTCTAACGAGCCTGCGAAGGGGAAGGATGGGGGCTTCCTGTGGTTTTGTTAATTTTGGTGACAGCTGGAGAGTATAGCTTAGTAAACTCTTGATACAATGAGGCGGCAGCCAGGCAGACGTTACAGTTGGCGGTAACTGAGGGCGTGGAGTGGGGTGCGGGTAGAACGGACTGGTTTCCCCCGTGTGGCCAGAGCCCCCGGAAGGAAAGCCCACAAGGAGAAAATGCTGCGCGTTCGTCGGTGGCTATGTTCAAGGGATGTTCCTGTATACTTTGTTGTGTTTCTCAAATCTTGATGGAAACCGACTGCTTGCACCGTAAAGGTGACGGTACAGGTTCGCACCCGTAGGTAAAAGAGTCCGAAGAGGTAGCGGCACCTTCACGGCGCGCCCGTAGAAGCGTCCCGATGCGCGACAGGCCCGCAGCGGCACAGCTGCTCGCACCTCCCAGGAGGCCGTCAGCGTCTGACCCCGTCCTCCGCTTCGCTCTCTTTCAGAGACTAGACCCAGCGATGCTGAGGAAGCTGCAGGCCACCGAAGAGACGGGTGTGCCCGTGTCCAGGACCAGCGCCCTGTCGGGCCTGAAGCCTCAGAACGGACACGTATCTCCAAAGCCGCCCTTGGGGTCCCCTCCCCCCCGGCTTTCCAAAACCCCCACGCCTCTGCCGACCGTGCTGGATGGGCCTGGAGAGAAGGCCAAGAAGCCGGCTCCCCCACAGCCACACCTGTCCCCGCCCCTCAAAACTTCTCAGGGGTTCCACGGAACCAGCGCCCAGGGCGGCGGCAGGTGCGACAGCCATAGGCCAAGCTCCTGGGACAGCAGGGGCGCTGTCCCCGCTACCTCACCCACGCTCCCGGCCGCGGCCGCAGCCAGCGGGCACGGGCCCTCGGGCCCCGCCCGCGCCAGGGGGGGCTCCAGCAGCTCCAGCCCCGAGCGCTCGGCTGGCAGCGACTCTGCCCGGTCCCCCGGGCCCCCCCGGGGCGGAGCCGCCCGATTCTGTGATTCTCAGGGAAGGACCCCCGTGGCCAGCCCCCCCAGGCCACTGCCGACGGGCGAAGACCCGAAGGGGGTGAAGCCGCGGTCCCCCGTCCTGAGCAATACTGCCACGGAGCCCACAAACACCATGTCTCCTCCACCAGCCAAAAAGCTGGCCCTTTCTGCCAAGAAGGTGGGTGTGTGGGAGTCTTGTCGCTGGTAGTGCCAGGAGGCTATGGCTTGGGGGAGTGGGACACTGGGCACCCCGGGTCCAGAGGAACCGGCTGGTTTAAGCCTTCCCAGGCACCTGCAGGCCAGCGGGGCGGCCCCAGGACGAGGCAGGGTCAGGGCCTGAGCTCCCGCTACCGCCGCCGCCCGTGGCTGAGGGGGGCGCAGGAGCGGGGCGGGGGGCAGCAGGCCACCCTCCTGGCTGTGGGGGAAATGAGCCTCGGGACCGGCCCGGGGCAGGGCTTCACGGGGCGGGGGCGCCAAGCGAGGGGCGTCTGCAGGTCACGGGGCCCGAGGACACGGGCGCTGACCCCTGTGTGGGGCACAGAGCTCCGTGGGGGAGTGGTCATGCTTGGAATTTTGTTGAAATTTCCTTCTCTTTTCCTTTTTGTTTCTAACCAAAAACACTTCTGATTCTTCTTCTACCATCCCCCACCCCTCGCTTCCCCCCTTTTTTCTCCGTCTGTCCCCTCATCCTGCTTTCTGGACTCTTCCGTATGTTTCTTTTTTTTTTTACATTTCTTTTCCCTCTTCACTCACGGCAACCTCTTTTAGACCACCAAGTTTTTATTTATGTCAATAACTGCAGGCCAGCACCCTGCGGAGGGCCCCCGGCACTGACCGCCGTGCAGCCCCCCTCCCACCGCCCTCCGACCTCACCTGCCCCGGGAAAGCCACTCACCCCGCCGTTGCCTGCGCCCGGCCCACCGGTCCCACCAGGTAAGCGCGGGCACAGGCCCCCGGGGCCGGCTGCTTCTCCCCGCGGCTCCCGTGCGCGCTCGGCAGCTGAGAGCGGCAGGCGGCCACCTGCCGGAAGGCCGGCACGGGCGGCTGGACAGGTACACGGCCCCCTCTGCGCTGGGCTCCTCTGCTTCCCGGTCCAGGCTGCTCAGAGGCTGTGTGGCCTCTGTGGTGCGGGGTTTTGCACCTTTGTCTTCATTTTTGCCTACCTGCCACGTGCATGTGCTGGCTCCGGTGAGCTGTGAATGGAACCTCTTGCATCCCCTCCCCGCCGAGGACAGGGCCCCACGGAGAGATGGGCGGGAGCTCCAGCAGACCCCGGTTGGGCTCGGAGGCCTTGGCGCTGGGTTCCCGGGCCCATCTCCGAGTGGGGCAGGGCCTGTGCCCTTCGCTCCCCAGAGCCTTCCCGGGCAGGGACTGTCCCTGGCACCACCTGCTCCGAGCTGGTGTCTCGAGCAGGGACACAGTTCTGTGGGTGCTGCCGGAGCTCTAGCCCCCAGTAGGCGCCCTCCCTGGAGGTTTGAGTCCCCCCTCCTGGCCTGGTGGACCCAGCTGTTCGCACCGCCCCGGCGTTTGAGTGGCCCTGGGCAGCTGGGATGGGAGGAGCAGGGGAGGCAGGTGGGCGAGGCCTGTGGGGTTGGGCGGGGCTGGGTTTGCCCTGGGCAGGGGTGCGCCCCTCACTGGAAGGCACCGTCTGGCTGCACAGCCTCCCCCACCTCACACGCCGCTGTCCCTGGCTCAGAGTCATTTTTGTTTATTTTTTAAGATTTTATTTTTTATTTTTAGAGGGGAAGGGAAGGAGAAAGAGGGAGACGTTGATGTGCAAGAGAAACATAGACCAGATGCCTGTTTCATGCCCCTCACTGGGGACCTGGCCTGCAATCCAGGCACGTGCCCTGCCCAGGAATCGAACTGGTGACCTTTCGGTTCGCAGGCCGGCGCCCTTTCCACTGAGCCGCGCCAGCCAGAGCCTGAGCACAGTATTTTTGCACTTCACAGGTCCTTAAACATTTACGGCACTTACTGGGCATTGTGTCTTTGTGTGACTTTTAACCCCAGCAAGCGGAGAGTGATAAGATGCAGTGCAGTCTCTGTGGCCACCAAAGCCTGTTCTGGTTTAGGTGGTGGCAGTAATGACCCTGTTTATTTGGTGACCTTTTGAGACAGGCGTTCTGGTTGGGCACTGACACGTAAGGAAACCCTAGACTGGAAAGTGAACCTTTCCCAGGCCACAGAGCGAGCAGGATGGGATCAGGGCCGCCCGCACCCGGCCCTGAGCCCGTGGTCCCTCACTCACCCTGGTCTGTGACCCTCCTGTGGAATCGATTTCCCCGGCTTTCCCAAGCCCCAAGTTTTGGAGGAAACTCATAGCTGATGATGTACAGGCCTGTGCTGCTCTTTCTTAAGGGGGCCCCAGCCCATGCCTGGGCATCTGGCGGCTTTGGGGGTTGAAAATTCATGGCTTAGCAAAGCTTTCCCCTCTTGACATATCAGTATTGAAAGTTAAAAACATGAGAGTTTGTAAAAATACTTTGAACAGCTTGGTGACAAGAAACTAAGAGGTTTATAACGACGTTCATCAGCTTTGATATTCAGTCAAAATGAATTGTACAGTCTGCATGTCTTTTCTAACTAGTTCCCTGGGGTTCCCAGGGGCGACCCTTGGCTGGAGAGTGGGGGCCGAGAGTGGGCCTGCGCCTCAGGACAGCCGGCCTCGCTGCCTGACCGTCCTCACAGGGCTGTTCTACCTGTTCCCAGGTCGCCCAGCCACCTGAAGCCGCCCCTCGGCCCCCACTCTGCGGCACTGCCCAGCAGCCCCCAGCCTCTCGGGATGTCCGCCTCTGCTCCCTCGCCTCAGGTCAACGGGGGCTTCCGGGCCCCTCCACACCAGCTTCCGGGAGCCAGCGAGCCCCCCCAGAGTCTCTGTAAGAAGAGGAAGAGGAACCACCAGGGAGAGATCCAGGGGCAGGGCTCAGAGACAGGGAGAGCAGTGGGGGCCCCTCCTGGGAAGAGGAGGAGGAAGAAGAGGAAGCGCCCAGAGGACGCGGACACCTCCGCCCTGCAGGAGGGGCAGCACTGGGGTGCCGAGCGCAGGAAGGAGGGCCGGGCAGAGCCGCCTGCGGCCAGGCTGGAGGGAGAGAGCGGACAGCAGCCAGTGAATGGCCAGGGCCTTGTGAACGGCTGGCAGGTGGGATGCAGGGCAGACAGCCCCCACGTGAGCAGGAAGAGGAGGCGGAAGGGAGTGGAGAGCGGTGGCCGCGAAGCCTGCGTCCACCAGGACCCACCTTGGCCCAGGTGAGAGCAAGGGGCGAGGCGCCCTGCCTTCCCACCCACACAGCCCCGCCCACTCCCAGGCCGGCAGTGTCCGGCAGCTGGCCAGCACGGGGGACGGGGTGGTGGCCTGGCCCCGGCCCGCTGGCTCTTTGGTCGCATCACCCAGTTTGTAGGACTCGCCTCGGTCGGGGTCTCCAGCGTCCTTGCGCTCGGCTGCGGCGTGGACAGCCCGCAGGCTTTGCCCCCAGGCCAGGCTCGGGGTGGCGCTTCTCCGGGTGACTGCAGGGCGGGAGCACATGCAGTTGGGGGGCGGGGGGGAGCCTCCCTCATTTCGCCGGGAGCCGACCGTCGACTGTCTCCCCAGGAGCCGCCCTCCCTCAGAGGCTAGCGAGCCTGAAATCGCTGCAGCGTCCCCGAGGAAAAAGAAGAAGAGAAAAGGAAAGCCGGAGTCTCAGCGGGAAGGAGCCGAGAAGGAGCAGCCCGAAGGCCGGAGGAGCGAGAGGCCGGGGGGTCCTGCCGTCCCAGGGAGCAGCCCCGTGCCTGCTGTCAACGGCCGGGGTCCCGGGGACCTCACAGGTGTGCGCCCGGGTGAGGCGGGGCGGGGCGCTGGGGGGAGGGACTGCGAGCTGGTCAGGGGTGCCCAGAGGCAGGTGCTGCAGGACGTCGCCTCCGAGGGACGGGCGGGCGCCCTCGCTGGCGAGGGAAGAGCTGGTGTTCAGACCCAGTTCTCTGCGGGGCCTCAGCGCTCACGCAGGCGTCTCTGCTCACAGGGCTGGGACGGGGCCCCCGGGAGTCCTGGAACGAAGAGCGAGACGGCGACGTGGTCCAGGAGCTGCTCGCGTGCTGCTCGGATAAGGCCTACGGCAAGAAAGGTGCTGCTTTGAGACTGGACTCCGGGGTTACTGGGGGCGGAGGGTCCCCGGAGATCCTGGTCTCAGGAGACTGGGAGCGCAGGAGTCACACGGCTTTAAAGATGGAGAGAGGGTCTCGATGGCCCTCTGGCCCCACCGCCGCTGCACAGTCAAGAGCTGGTCCCTGCAGGGGGGTTTGTTGTGGAAGGACCCTGAACGGCTTCTCCCTGGGTCCGGGGCCAGAGAGCGGAGATCGTGCACCTCTTGGGGGGGCAGCTGGGGAGGAGGGGCCGGAACACTCGGAGAAATAATGTGAGACTTTGTTTCTAAAATGAGGCCGCGGGTTTAGAAACAATTACATTTTGTGGGGGGTGGGCAAGGGCAAAGGGGGTCAGCTGCACGGTGACAGAGGTTTGGCTCTGGGCGGGGGCGCGCACTGCAGTGCCCGGCGCGGGGATCGCAGAATCGTACACGTGAAACCCGTATGATTTTATTAACCAACGTCCCCCCCATAAACTCAGTTTTTAAAAAAGACTAAAAAACAATTAGGGTGGTGGGAAATCCAGAGGTGCCAACACGTGTGTGTCTGTTCCAGTTTTGACGTGGGATGGTGAGGTGTCAGCTGTCAGCCGGGACGCTGTTCGAGACTGCGAGTTGGCCCGCGCCTCCACGGTGATCGACGACTGGGACGAGGAGTTTGACCGTGGGAAGGTAGGCCCGACCCCGGCCGCTGCCGGTGCCCTGCGGGTGCTCGGGGCAGGGAGGGCTCAGTGTCTGGGCAGTTCCGGGCAGTCGAGGGCTGGACTGGAGCCAGGTGCCACGTTCACGTGCGGATTGGCTGCTGAAAGTGTGTGGCCACAGGCAGTGCACAGGTCCCTGGCTGCTTCTGTCCCTTCATCAGTGATGCGGGGTCGCAGGGGCTCTTAGAGGCCACGTGAGGAGTAAGCTTGTTTGTTACAGTGCACGGCGAGGGTCCTGTCACACTCAGGAGCCCCGGGGACCAGGGGATGACCCTTTCAGGTAAGTATAACACCTGTGATTCTTGATGTAGGAAAAGAAAATTAAAAAGTTCAAGAGAGAGAAGAAAAGAAACTTCAATGCCTTCCAGAAGCTTCAGAACAGACGGAACTTTTGGTCTGTGACTCACCCGGCCAAAGCTGCCAGCCTCAGCTACCGCCGCTGATGCGCCACAGCCCACGTGGGTCCGTGTGGGGCGTGAGCGAGTATGTGCGCGGGGCCGCGGGGTGTGGAATGCACGCACAGTGGTCCCTCGCGGGGCACAAGCATGTAGCCTCCCAGCTCCGCCTGAGGCCCCGCGCAGCTCCTGTTGGGCGGCGCGGGAGCCCAGGAGCGGGGACTCCCCACGTGCCCTCCCTCTCTCAGGAGCACCGCTGTCTGCCCCACAGACTCGTGAAGACGGGCATCCCTTCCCGGGAGCCGGCCCCGTGGGCTCCTCGGGCTGGGGCATCAGCAGCCCCTCACCGGAGCCTGCTGCGGAGGACACGCACAGAGGCTCCAGCGCCTGTGGCCAGGACCTCGGGTGGCACAGCACGCCCGTGACAACGTGGAGAGCAGGCGGCAGCACCGTGGGAGCCTGGATGGCAGCGTCTGGCCCGGGCCGCGGGAGAAAGCCAGGGAGGACAGCGGCCACGCTCCGCCTGTGTGCTCGCACACCCTCAGGGTGACCGTGTGGCTCTTCTGGGCCCGCCATCCATCGCCTGCTCCTGGTGGCTGGCTCTGCCCCCCGCCTGGGCCCTGCCTTCCCTGTCCCCTCGGCAGGGCTCTGTCTGTATGCCTTACCTGTCCAGCCTGAGCACGGCCCGCCAGCGCATCCGCCCCTCGCAGGGAACTGGACCCCATCCCGGGAGCAGGCCGCAGCGCCGGGCAGGCGGGGGCGCGAACCGCTGTGCCAACGCGTACGTTCACCCGGCTGCTGCCCGCTCTGAGGGGCTTCCCCGAACCTTCCTTGCAGCCACAGCAGCTGTGGGTCTGTATCCGGGTGGTGGTCTTGGGGTAGAACCCTCCTTTACTGCTTAACACAAGCCAGTCACTTGGACCACGCCTGTGGCCTCCCTCAGCGACACATGTCCTTTCCCCAGCGTGCAGCCGCGGCCCCATTTGCACCCCCGTGCGAGTGCTTTTGAATTTAGAAGATTGTATAACTTGAGAAGACAATAACTTGAGAAGATTGTATAACATCCATATCCTGCTCAAGCTGTGCCTGCGAACTTGTAAATTAAGAATTATGGGAAATCCTCCGTCAAGGGGACATTTTCCAGAAAAAAAGGCAAATGACCCAGTGGCAGGAGGTGCATAAGTAAATCTGAAAATGGATCCTCAGCTTCTGTTTCCGCGCCCTTCTTGCGGGATACACAGTGCATGGCGCAGGACCGAGGGCCGTGGGCCTGTCCCCTCGGTGGTCCTCCTTGGCCTGAGGCCAACCGGTGCCTGGGGGCGGCCGCGCCCCTCCTCCCCTCAGCCTTGCCCTCGCTCTGGGGTCTCTGGTGGTATTAAAAGACAGTGTAATGTTTTTTACATGGGAGGTGTGTTCACCTCTTCATGGGGTGGCTCTTGGTTTTCCTCCGTTTCCATTTTCTTTTTAAGGAAGTGGGAGGAGGGTAGCTCTGACCCCCCCAGGGCTGCGCCCCCGCGAGAGCAGGCAGGGCCACGCTGATGCCCGTCTGGGGCCTCGGCCTTTCTCAGAGGCCCAGTCTCTGCCTGTGAGCCACGCGTGTTCCGGCACAGGGGCCCACCCTGGTGCCCGGTGCTTTGTCATTTGCCACCGCCAGCGGGGAGGCAGGTGCCTTTGTGGGCAGTGCTCTTTCCCTCTCGCAGCGGCGCAGGCATTCACTCCGGTGCAGACCGATTCCCCGGCCCTGTTTCTCTGCGACGTTCGGTGGCCAACGAGAAAGAGTCTGGTGTCCGCTAGACTCGCCCCGGCCTTCCCCACCCTCCTCCCAGAGCCAGCCCCTTCCTCTGCTGCCCCGGGGTCACTGTAGCACCTTTTCCTGAGGAAACATGGTGGTTCCCCCGTGGGGTGGGCGGTGCTGAGCAGAGGCGAGCCTGCCCCTCCCACGTGGTCATCAGCCCAACGGGGACGGGTGAGGGCGGGCCCAGAAAATGAGTCTGCATGGTAGGCGACGTGGACACATATAAGCACACGTATAAACAATCAGAGCTTTTAAAACAGCGGTCCGTCGGTCCACTGAGAACCTGGGTTTAATTTAACTTTGTGTTTAGAGTGGGGGGCTGGGGCCTGCAGGAGGGGCCTCTTCCCCAAGCCCCTGTCAGCGCTACCCCACCCTCCGCACCTTCGCCCCGGGGGTGCCCCAGACGGGGCCGAGATCTTGGTGCAATAAAATACCGAGTTTTTTTGAGCCTTGCCTGTGTCTTTGTTTCTTTTCCTTTGATTTTTTAAAAGGCACATGCCAGCCCCAGGCTGATTCCCGTGTTGCAATGAAAGGTGTTGCAATGAAAGGCTCGCGTTCCAGGTGGCCGGGGGTGCCTTCGGCTCCCCGGTGGGAGGTTGAAGCGGGTCCAAGTTAACGAAGGGGAAGGGGGAGATTTGCGTGGCTGCAGGAATAACACTTAAACTGAAGGAGACAGACGCCTTGGGAAGGGCTCGCTAAGCTCTGGCTGATTCCCAGTGAGCTCTGTGCTGAGGACACGCAGAAGCGGTGTCACCCCCCCCCCCCCAGGTGTGTCTGGGCTTTGTTTTACTGGAATGTGGCTCGGTTTCTGCGGCAGAGCGGAGGGGAGGCGCTAGGGCCATCCCCGCAGCAAGAGCGTCGCAGGTCCCCGGGGCGGCTCCTCTCCCCCAGCTTGTGCGACAGAGTGGGGGTGGCGGAGCGGCTGGCGCCCACCTGTGCCCCTGTCCTGTGAGGGCACCCCAGCCCCTCGGGGCCCAGGCTGGAGGGCGTGTGGAGACGACCGGTTTTCGGCGCGGGCTGGGATGTGCAGGCCACGCAGGAACTTAATTTGGACTCACGTGGAACTTGCTGGTCCGGTCAGGCCAGGCCGTCTGTGCCGAGCGGGCGGGTCAGGGTCTGCCCGGGACGTGTGTCCGGGAGTTCGGGTGGGACCAGGAGCAGCAGCACCTGCACGGGGGTGACAAACAACAGCCATGCTGGGCGGTTCCAATACCGCAGCCCTGTGGCCTCTTCCCTCCCCTTCCCTCGGTGACCCCCCAGTGCTCCCCACTGTCCAATACAGGGACTCTCTGTCACTAGAGGGTGTAACCATACAGCTCAAAACTGGTCACAGCAAAGTAAGAACCTGCTTTGGGGGAGGTGAGGCGGGCACAGGATCCAAACCAGAGGGGGTGCCCAGCAGAGTGGCACAGGGTTTGGGGCGACGGCGCTCCAGGGGCCTGGCTGACCAGCCAAACTCACGTCCCGGGGCTCCGGAGCAGGCCGGCCGGGGCTGGGGGGCGGTCCCGGGACCCCGTGCGCCGGGGAAGTCCCGCACCTGGCCGGCCGTCCTCCAGGGGAGGCCATAGCTTTTCAGGTTGCTGTTCTCCAGAGAGCGGGGATGGCGCAGACACAGGTGAACCAGGCCGCGTTTCCCACAGGTGGCCCGCGGTCTCAAGGGCGGGACTGAGTTTCAGGTGGAGCCCTGGGGGTGAGGTGATGTTCTGCAGAGCGTTGAGCTGCCAAGCATAGGCGCCAGCCAGGCCACGCTCCCTCGAGTGACCCTGCCTGTCGCCAGAGAAAGGCACAGGCAGGTGTGTTTTGGTTGATGATTTGGCCCGAACCGCAACACGCAGTCTCTGCTGAGTTACGGCGCGCTCCCACGTGGCGGTCCGCAGGGCTGATCGGGTCTCACCTGCTCTTAGACATCCGAGGGCGACGCTGGTGTGCACGAAGGCTTGGGACGTGGGGGCGGAGCGGAGAAGCCGGAAGAGGGTGGCCCGTCCAACCGGCTGGCCGAGGCGCAGCCCGGGCCTCAGCTACGACAGGCACAGCTGACGCCGGCCGCGGCCGGGGGGCGGCCCGGGACTCGTTGGCGATGGCGTGGGGAGAGCGCGGGGGGTGGGGGGGATGGAAAGGTCAGGGCCGGGTGAGGCGGCTCTGGCTTGGGCAGTGTGTGAGGGGCGGAGCCAGGTAGCGCCAGAGAGCCCGGTGGCTGGCCTTGGGGGGCGGGGGGGCACGTGTGCGTGTTATGTCAGGCAGGGAACCGAGGCAGGATCGCAGGCATGAGACGTGAGCTCTGGGTTTCTGATGAAGAAAAAGGCCAGCCCTGGCCAATGCAGCTCAGTGGACTGAGTGTCGGCCTGCAAACCAAACGGTCGCCTGTTCAATCCCCGGTCAGAGCACAGGCCTGGGTTGCGGGCCAGGTCCCTAGCAGGGGGCATGCTGGGCGGGGGCGCGACTGGTCATTGCATCTCTAGAACATTGCTATTTCTCTCCCGCTCTCTCTCCCTCCCTTCCCCTCTCTCTACAAGTAAATAAATAAAGTCTTTAAAACAACAAAAGTCCAGGTGTCAGGACACCGAGGGAGCCAGCGGGGCACTCGCCGGGAAGCTCCGAGGCCCGCGCCAGGGCCCCCGGGGCAGAGAGCATGGCCTTCAGTGGAAGGCGGGGAGTGCGGCGGATGGAGGAGGGCCGGGGCGCGAATCCCTGCCGAGTCCCGGGGGCCTGGACAGTCCCCGCGCAGCCGGCACTCGCGTAGAACGCTGCCGACAGCAGGGGCCCCTCCTCGGCGACGGCGACGGCAGAGACGATGCCGCGGCCCTTGGCCAAAGCTCAGCAGCGCGGGCCTCCCTTGTGCCTGGGGACCTTGTGGCCAGTTGCCTGCACCGGCCCCTCCCTCAGCCCACGCTGGGCCCCACCCCACTCCCAGACATTCTGATTCAGCAGGTCGGGCAGGACCCGAGAATGTGCATTTCTAACATGTTCCCGGGGGGTGGAGACCCCGCTGCTGGCGGGACCTCGCTGGCAAGGAATGGTCAGATGAGGCGGGAGCTTGGGCAGGAAGTGCAATGCATGGTTGTCCCCCGCAGCCCTGGGTGGGGACCACCCCTGGAGACCAGAGGAGGTGCCCCTGTAGGGCTGGTCCCCCCACCTGAGCTCTTGGCCAGACTCTTCCTCGGGAGGCCTTGCTCCGGTGACGACCCCATCCGCCTCCTGTCTCCTTTGTCCGCACGCCTGCCACCCCGAAAAGCCCCCTTGTTTTGGGTCCCCTCCCAGCCACCGGTCCCTCAGCTCTGCTTCGGTGCGCCTTCTGCCCCCTGCTGCGGCGTTCTCAGTCTCCCTCCCACCCGCATCCCTCACCCAGCGACCCGGCCCGGATCTGACAGGGTGTGCCTGAAAATCCCCTTCAGGACGTGACCCTGTTCGCCGCCCCGTCCCTGAGGAGCCCCCCTTTCTCCGCCCATTCGCTGTGAAACCTGTGGCCCCCGAGGCGGTGCAGGTGTAGGCAGGACCCATCAGTGTACCTGCCGACCGGTCGGCGTATCCTCCTGGGGCACGCGCGGCCTGCTCCGCCTCCATTGTGTGTCTGCCCTCCTGCCCCCGTGTTCTGCCCCCCTTGGGGCCCTCAGTGTGGCTGGGACCCCCACACATTACCGATGAGAGTCTCATCTTTCTACCTGGCTGCCTCAAAATCCCTTGTCCTTCCTGTGCCGCTGGCTGGCTCTCAGTCTGAGTCGCCGGCCTTGGCTGCCTGGGCTCAGGCAGCCTCCTAACCGGCCCTCCAACCCCTGGGGACCTGCTTTCTGCTCCACGTTCCTGGCTCCCAGGACAGTCTTTCTAGACGAGACACCCCAATCCAAGCGCTCCCCGGCCCAAGGCTCCTCGCCGCCTGTCCGCACGCAGCCGGCAGCATCTTCTGGGGGAGGCCCCTCCGGCTCTTCGGCTGGGAGCGCCCGGGCAGGCCTCCGGACGGCCAGCCGGCGCGAGGGCCCGCCACCCTGGGGAGGCCCTGGGAGTGGAGACAGAGACCTCGGCCGGAGTCCGGGTGAGGAGCGCCTGCTCTGTGGCAGGGTTCGCTCCAGCGCGCTGGCGTGACTGTGGCAGTCCTCGTTCCCACGCGGTGGCCGGGCCTGCTTGGGTCCACGGCTGCCTCTCCCTGGCGGTTCCCCTTCACGGGACGGCAATGAGAAAAAGTGGTGGGACTCAGCCCATAAATAAATACCCACGGCATCTCGGGAGAGGAACACAGTCACAGACGGGCTGTCCCTTCGGCAGGTTGTAGGTGTTTAGGTGGCTTCTTACCGTGGCCGGGCCACATGTTCACATGAGACACCTGAGAACAGGGCAAGTACCTGCCATGAACAACACGTAAGAAATACACGTGCGAGTCCTCAGCGAAGGGCGTCCTCGCGGCTGCTTGTGGAATGAGCGCGGCAACCCTGACCGCCCCGTGCAGACGGGGCAGGGGGTGGCTGACGCGTACCCGGATGGGGTTGTTTGCTGTTAGAAATGACCCGTGACCATTTCATGGCCTTTACTCCTCTCCGACGTGCCTCACTCAGCTGGTTTCCAGACACCTCCCCCTGGCAGGGACCGTTGGCCACGGTCCCCGCGGGGCCCCAGCGCTCCCCGGCACCCGGGAAACCTTCGCTGAATGAGTGAACGGGAAAAGCTGTGCAGGACAGTGTGTTTGGACTCTGCTCAGAAAATGCCGCCCCCATCAGTGTCACTGCCTCGGAAATTCTCCTCGCACCAGCTGTCCCTGACGTTGCCTTCTCTGAGCCAGACCCCGCGACACCCCCGCCCTTGTCTGTTTTTTTGATCCTCTATTTGAAGTGAAAGCCTAAACCGGGTGGCACGTGGCCAGCTGTCTTTTGGGCGGCAGGGGAACAGTTGGTGACAGCTGGATACAATCAAGTTCCATTACAAACAGATTTTAAGTGCCACTCACACACGGAAGAAATTGCAAGCTTTAGCAAAATAAAATCTGGGGGCTTTCAAAGCAAGACAATGCCCCAATCGCCGCCTGTGTAAACGACTTGGTTTGCGGTTTCTTCTCGCTCACGGGAAGCACCCTTTCTTTCCCTGGGCGCCCCCGCCCCCCCGGGCGCAGCCTGCACACCGCAGGCCGGCACACGTGCCCCCGGGCCAGCAGCCCGTCCCCGTCTGGTATTTGTTGAGGCCGCCTGCATCGAATGCCTGTCTGGACTCTGCGGCCGGCCCACGCCACCTGGGCTGAGAGGGACCAGAGGCTGGCTTCTGGAAGAGGCGCTGCCCTGCCTCGTCGGCCTCTCCCCTTGGGCTCCGGTGGCACGAAGGTGGGGCAGGTGACGGCTGCCTGGCTAAGACATTCCTCTGGCACGCAGGAGCCCTCCGGAGGCACCTGTCAGCCCTGCTGGCCTCGGCAGCGCGCGGGCCGGAGTTCTCCTGGTTCACCCTCAGCCCTTCTTTCCTCACCGGAGCCTCGGCGCTGGAGGAGTCGGGGCGGGCCCGCCGGGCTCCTGCGGGGCGGGGTGGGGGGGCTCGGCCCCTCCCTTTCTCCCCAGAGCCTCCAGCTGTGCCTCCCGCTGGGCCCCTCCCTCCCTGATCCTGCTGGGGGAGGAGAAAGGCAACGAAAGGAAAACATTTGTTTTAGGAAAAGGAACCAGATACAAGGCGGCCTGAGCGAGACTACAAAGGAAACAGTAAAGTCCCCTCGCAGACAGTCTGGGGCCTATGTTCTCTCCACAATGTTTATTTTAAAATTAATTTAAGACAGTAATACACACATATGGCCAAAAAACTTAAAAGCCACATATCTCCCCGAACTGCTCTGACAAAATCCCACAGATTGGGTGGCTTAAAAGAATAGGAATGGCCCTGGCCCTTGTGGCCTGGTGGGTTGAGCGTCATCCTGCAAAGCCTAAGGTGGCAGGTTCGATTCCTGGTCACGGCGCGTGGCTGCGTTGTCAGCCTCATCCCCCATTGAGACACAAGCAAGAGGCAACCAATGTATGTTTCTCTCACATGTCGATGTTTCTCTTTCTCCCTACCTTCTCCTCTCTCTACAATAAATAAGTACAATCTTAAATAAATAAGCAAAATTGGCAGGCATGGCTTTCTGCAAGATCTGGAGGCCCTCAGCCTGAAACCCTGGAGAGGGCAGGACCGCCCTCCCTCCGGCAGCTCTAGGGGAGGGCCCTTCCCGCCTCTTCCAGCTGCTGGTGACCCGGGCGTCCCTTGGCTTCTGGCTGCGTCACTTGAGTCTCTGCCTGTATCTTCACGTGGCCACTTTCCCAACCAGTGCTTGTGGAATGGCTGAACGTACAAGTATAAATGCGTCGACGTAAGAATGTGCAGACCTGTAGAAAAGTTTTGAGATCTCAAAGACTCCCCAGAATAACAGTTTTGCAGCTTCCTTTATGCATTCGAAAGTAAGGAGGGAAGTAAGGAAGTTTCCTTGGAGGTGGGAGGAAGCAGGGCGGGGTAGCTCAGATTAGGCACCCCCTGGAGGGCCGTGACTTGGAGGGGCATTATGCCTGGCCTGTATCAAAGGGGTGTTACCCTACCGTGGGCAAGGCTTTGTTAAAACCTGTCGGGGAGTCCTAGGCCGGGAGTGACTACCCATGACTGCCCGGTTAGGAATTTATGATCAGCTTGTGCTGGGAGGTTGTTTTCCAGAGGCCCTTTTTCTCATCCCCACATGTGCGTGACACATTCAGGAATTTTTATTACAAATGGGACTATGTCACACACCCCGGCTCTGTCGTTGCTTTGTTCAGTGAATACGGCTTGGGAACCTTCTCAGTTTGGTAGATATTGGGTTGGCCAAAAAGTTGACTTGGTTTTTTCCATAAGATGACTGTAGTAGTAATTGTCTTTCACTTCATTTGAAACAATTCTGTTAGATTGTATTGTGACAGTTGTCACATCAGCGTGCATTTAAAAATGATCAAAATTGGGGGATTTTTGTGTACCCATTTTAACAGTGAAGATGGGAGAAAATACTTGACATTTTTAACATACTATGTTTTATTATTTCAAGAAATGTGAAAACACAACTGAAACACACATAGAAAAAGATTTGCGCAGTGTATGGAGAAGGTGCTGTGACTGATCGAACATGTCAAAAGTGGTTTGTGAAGTTTCATGCTGGAGATTTCTTTCTGGATGATGCGCCATGGTCTGGTACACCAGCTGAAGTTGATAGCAATCAAATTGAGACATTAATTGAGAACAAGCAACGTTATGTCACGCGGGAGATAGTCAATATACTCAAAATTTCCAAATCATGTGTCTTTTGTTTTACGGAAAAAACGGTATGGACTCTGGGGCAACGCGACAGACACATGCCTTCCAAGCCTGCGAGCGCTCCCTGGCAGGGATGGGGTGGTTTCTGAAGAAGTTTGAACACCACAGTGTGACAAGCACAGGAGAAAAAAAAAGTTTTGGGGTTACCTCGGTTTAAAAGACTTCCTTTGTGATTCTAATGTTTAAGATTGTGTAAGGCAGGGATGACGGAAGGGAGGCACCAACTTTTTAAAAAAAAAAGGTGTTGGCAAATCAACCACGAGAGAGAATGACCGACCACGGTGAGACCCGCCTCCGGGGAGCTCTGGCCCTCTGTCAGGGTTTTCTGAACAACTGTGACACGGGGCAGCGGGGGTGGGAGCGTGGGGGGAGCGGGGGCGGGGCCTGGGCCAGAAACTGCGACCACAGTCGAGTTCCCTATCCCCACCTGGGCGCCTCCGGCCCCTCTGCTCCCCGCCTCTCCTTTGAGGTCTCGCGTGTTCCACGTGTTCCGTGTTCCGAGGCTGGTAGCAGTAAGCTCGCCCGGCCCTGACTCCCAAGGACTCCATACTGTGACCTCCGAGAGCCTCAGTCTCTCAGCCTCTGGTAGGGAGACGATGTCACAGGATCTGTGCGTCAGGAATGTGTGGGGGTGGAGTGTCCTACCGGCGCCCCACTGGCAGAAGCACACGGTGACCCCCACCCAGGGACACCAAGCCCTCCCACACAGCCAACACATACATTCTCCTTGTCACGCGCCATACACCCGGGGTTCCTTCTCAGGTGTTCTCTCTCGTCTTCCTCTAATGAAGGTTGGTGTCCGCAGCCCTGGGAGAGTCAGGGCCTGTAGGTTGAAGACATTGTGGCAGGGAGCTGACGTTGCTTAAGGGAATTGGTACATTCAAGCACCGTGCTAATGGAGGATCCCTCCCTACCCTAATCTTCCAGGCAGGGAGTTCAGATAACACGTTTAAAGTGATGATAGTGACCATTAACATGTTATCTTTCCTTCCTGAGTTTTGGTCATTGAGCAAGAGTTCTGGTGGCAGGAGACACCTGCCTGCTGTTAAGGGAAGACAGCCGGGTGGCAAAAGCCAGAACTTCTGCGGACGCCAAGACAGACCGCAGTAAAGAGAGCCTGCAGCGAACTCCGGGAGACTTTGCGCCACTGTCGTGAAAAAAGACTTGCCAGACAAAGGGGGCAATTCTGAGAGCCCCCCAGGCCGGGCCGGGGTGACTGAAGTGCAGTTGGATCATAGAGCACACAGCCTCAAAATGCAAGGACGTGGGCCTACGATGTGACTCTACTGTTGCCTGTAAAACTAGACAATCTGGTGAAATAAGTGGAGGTGAAACCCGCAAATCCACCGGGGTCAATCTTGTTGGGAGAGGGGTAAAACAATCTAGACAGGGGAAGTGTCTACTTTCTGGAATTATTTGAAAGCGGCATGGGGGATGGGTTAGGGAGTGTGCTCAAGAAAATAAGAGACCACCTTAGACTTTGGGAGACGTCAAGGCTTTCCAGCAATGGCTGCGGTCAGTCACTTCATGTGTGTAAGAGGGGGCTGTCTGCGAATGGACCATTTTCTTCGCCTCCAGAAGAGTGAGCCAGAGCAGCGCCCCCGACAGGACCTCAAGGTTACGGTTCCTTGCCCTGGCTGAGTGGCTCAGTTAGCTGGAGTTCAGTTAGTTGGGTTAAGGTAAATTCAGACACTACGTGGAAGCATGAAGGCAGGGAACTGGTGACAAGAGGCACTGTGCTAAGGTTCAGGCCGCAGAAAAAAAGGGATCCAAAGGTTATGGGTTCAGTCCCCAGCCAGGGCACACACCTGGGCTGCAGGTCCCGGCGTGTGTGGGAAGCAGCCGGTTGATATTTCTCTCTCTCTCCCCTCCCCTCCCCCTTCTTCTGTCTCTAAAATCAATAAATACATCTTCGGGTGAGGATTAACAAAAAAAATTAGAGTTCCTTAGGCTGGTATGTTGGAATCCACCCCCTCCAACAGAAATCACCTGTGCAGAAGTATCCGCTGTGAAGAAGTCCGGTGGAAAGCTGCGGCCGACCTGCCCCTTCCGGGATCAGTTCTGGGTAAAGCCGGGCTTTGTGAGCAGAGGTACGTCCAGGGGCTTGGGGTTTACTCCGGCCACAGGGTTCAGCTCAGCACAGCACACCGGGAATGAAAGCACAGCCCTGCCTCACTCATGTATTTTCTCCATGGGAATCGAGGACTCTTGTTCGTTGTCTCAAACAAGTTCTGGGAGGGCCACTGTGGGGTCTTTTTACTGGGGTTGGCCAGTAAAAGAATAGGTTTCTGAGCGCGTCTCACCTCCCCCTGATGGAGAGTCCTGTGACACTGGAGAGGTCCTGTGACATTGCCAGGGCTCTGGGCCAGCTCAACTCCAGCAGCCCGGCGCAGGCAAATAAAACACGTAGCCAACCGTCTAGAGACGTGAGAATTTAAGAGGTGCGCGGGTCAGGGTCACTGAGATCCTGAAACGCTGGAAGATAAGGTAAACTCAGACAATAACCGGAAGCATGAAGGCAGTGAACTGGTGACAAGAGTCATTGTGCCTTATAAGGTTCAGGCCGCAGAAATAAAGGGATCCAAGTGCTCTGCGGCCTCCGGCTGAGACCCGGCCCTCCCTGGGCAAGCTGGGGCCAGCCTGGCCTGCGCGGTTGACGTCAGCGAGGACCACCCTGTCCTTCGGTGGCCGGACACGACCTCGGGCCTTTGTGGGCGGCCGGGCAGCGGGCTGCGGGCCTGGACGGGCGTGCCAGTCCTTGGTCCTGGCGCGGCCCTTGCGAAACGCGAAACGCGAAACCCGAAACCTGGGGGTCGGCCAGGAGCGGGGCGGGGCTTCAGGCTCAGGGGCGGGGCCGGGGCGGGCGCGCGGGCGCAGGCGCGGGATGGGAAGCAGCCGAGTGCAGGGAAGTGCGCGCGCGAACGGGCGGGCGGGGCTTCAGACCCAGGGGCGGGGCCTGGGGCGCGCGTGCGCAGGCGCGTGCCGGGGGGGCTGTCGCGTGCTGGGGGTCCGGAGGGCGTGGGTGAGGGGAGGGCGGGGGTGAGGGCAATGCACGCGCGGGCTACAAGGCGGGGCTGTAGGCTTGGGGGCGGGGCCTGGACGCGCGTGCGCAGGCACGGGCCGGCAAGCGGCCGCGTGCCGGGGGTGCGGGCGCAGGCGGCGGCGGGCGGGGCGCCCCGCGGGTGGCGCGGGGCCGGGGGCGGGGCTCGGAGCTTGGAGCTCGGCTGAGGCGAGCGGGGCCGGAGCGGCGCGACGCGAGGGGCGAGCGGCGAACCCGGCGCGGAGCCCGGCAGCGGCAGCGGCGCCATGGAAGAGGACGACAGCTACGGTCAGTACTGCTCGCGGCCCGCCGGGCGGACGCCTCCTCCCTCACTCCCTTCCTTCCCCGGCCCGGCGGCGCCTCGGCCGGCTCGCGTTTCCCGGGGACGGTGGTGAGGGACGCGAGTCCGGGGGCCGGACAGGGTGCGGGGCCGCCGGGGGCCGGGAGGCGGAGCGGCGCCCGTGTCTCCGGGGAGGCGGCTGGAGGTCGCGGGGCCGTAGTCGCCGGGGTCGCGGTATCCGGGTCGCCGGCCGCTGTCACCCAGCGCAGGCCTGGCGGTGCCCCCGCGAACGTTGAGGCTCCCCGGCGCCCCCGTGTGCGCTCTCCGTAGTTTCCGGCCCTTTTTGGTATTCGCAAGTTGTGTGCCCCGGTCCATGTCTTTGTCTGAAACGAAAAGGAGAAAACGGCAAACCATCCCAGAGTGGACAGACTTCACCCGGGACGTCTCTGCGGCCGGGTTGCCGGGCACTAGGGTGCTTCCGAGGGCCGGGACTCCGGCCCCTGGTCGCCGCGAGGTTCCGGTTAATTATTGCTGACCTCGTTAGGTGCCTCATCGGCTGCTGATCCAGAAACGCCTGCCCGGGATGCCGGGCGGTGCGGGGACGGGGACCCAAGTTTGCGTTCTCGGCTGTCCGCCCGGACAGCGAAAACTTGCGATCTGAGACTTCCCAGCTTTCCTCCCGCCGGCCTTACCCTAAAACCTGCCGGTCAGCAGCGAGGGTGCCCTCCCTCCAATGGCTTGAAATGCTGGGCGTTTAAAAAGTTTATTTGAAATGCTATAGTTTTAATATTTTACTCGTGAGGAATTTTCAGAAAGAAAGGCAAATAGAACAAGCGGTGAACTTCTGTGGTTTGGTGGTAGAGGACAGATACGGCGGGATTCAAACTGCACCTGGGGCCGAATGGCCCCGGGTCCTGGCTTATTGGGTGGCGCGGGAACACAGGTGTTCTGCTTGTTCACAAGTCAGGCTCTGAGAAGCTGCTGACGGGTGGAGAGGTGGGTTTATGACCTGCAACCTGACCCTGAGCCGCAGACGGGGACCACGCTGCTGCTTGCCAGACCCAGGCGTGGCCTGAGGTCCAGCGTGCGTTCGGGATGGGTGCCCATCAGATGTCCCCTAGTTACCTTCCAAGTAAAAACCATGTGTGCTTTTCTTTGTGATTTAAAACAACAACAAAAAACCCCCAAAACAGGCTGGTTCCAAAGGAGGGGATTTTCTTCCCCTCCCCTCTCCCCGTAAGGAAAGCCTTGTTCAGTTTCTCCTTTTTTTTTTTCCTGCTATTTTCTCGCCCCTCTCTTGGCATTTAATCTCCCTCGGTCCCCGGGTCCGCCAGGCTCTCTTCTTGCCCCCTCCTGCTGTTCTTATGCGCCTGACCAGGCAGGAAGCGGTTGGCTCGGTCGCTCTCAGCATGGGGAGGGCTTGGCCGCCAGGCGGGCCGTGAATCTGTGCTTAGGAAGGGGTTGCTGGAAGCAGGGCGGGCTTGTTTCCCCTGGCGGCTGTAGCAACTCAGCACAAACGTGGGGGCTCAAAGCAACATGCATTCATCCTTCCACAGCCGGGAGGCCAAGGCCAAGTCCCTGTCACTGGGCTGCAGTGAAGGCGTTGCAGGGCCGTGTGCCTCTCTGGGGGTCCGGGGAACATCCGTTTCCCTGCCTTTTGCTTCTAATCGGGCTGCCGGCGCTCCTTGGCTGGTGGCCTCCTTTCGCCTTCAGAGCCAGCAAGTAGCGTTGTCCTGCTTCTCTCTGACCTCTGCCTCTTCTAATGAGGGCCACTGGGGGTCCCCCCGGATAATCCAGCCGAAGGGCCCGCAGCCTTAATCCTGCCACCATGAGTGCCCCTTTGCCACGTAGGGTGACACACTTGTAGTGGGGAGTGTAGGCCATGGACACCTTTGGGGGCTGTTATTCTATTGAGCGCCCATAAAGATAGGGAAAAAGTTTATCCTTTTCTTTAGAATTAAAAAAAATCATTTTCTTTGTATTTTGAGGGAACCAGAAAGGTTGAACGAGAGGATTCCCCTTGCATAGGGCGGCTAACCACACAAAAAGCACCTCATTGTTTTTAAGATGGTCGCATGGAGAATAAGATTCTGAGCTCTGTGAGGTGGGCCGCAGTTTCTAGAACTGTCTGTTTCCCTCAGCGGTTTTACAGAGAAGTTACGTGGAGGGACGCGACAGCGACTCTGGTTCCCATTTCTAAAGGAAAAGCCTGCCACAGACTCAGAAAGTGCCTGCAACAGCCTATCCCCGGGCGCCTGGGGCCCTGCGGCTTGAGAGTCAGCCTAGGGCACATCCACTGGTTCACCATTTGGTCCGGGGACGCGGGTGACGGTTTCCTAGCTGCCATTTGGTGTAACAGACGCTTGGAGCATAACCCATTTGTAACATGCTGCAGAAAGTGGGTGAGTCTTAGAGGGTCCCTGTTCAAGTAAAGAAAATTTCAGCAACATACAGGAAGGCTGGGCCATGTGCTCCCGGGGCGCATGTGGACCAGGGCCCTCCCCCCAGCCTGGAAGCCCTTCCTGCTGTGGACGCCCCTGGAACAGCAAGTTGTTCCTTCCCAGGCTCCCAGGACAGGTGGCGGGGCCCCAGCTACGGGTCTAGTGTGATCTGCTCTAGTGTGAAGACGGCGGGGGGTGGGGAGGGTGTCAAACAGGAGTCATTTTAAATTGTGATTTTCCTTGAGCAATGTAGAATTAGTTATTTTCTAAATGCTTAATTGACGTTTTAAGAAAGACGTTCACGTTGCTTGTGGCTGATCAGTCTTTATCCCCTCAGTTTCTTTCTGACACAGGAAAGATTTGGGAGTTTCGGGTTCACATTATCGCCTTGCTAGATCACCATGCTTCCTGGACCTCACTCACGAAAGGAAGAGGCGCTTCGCCTTCCTAGGGCGCCCTGCCCACAGCAAGGCCCAGTCACTCGGTTCCTCTTGGTGACTGTGAGCTTGAGCGGCGGTTTGTGACCTGCAGTTTGCCTGCTAAGTGCTCCGGGAGCCATTCGGGAGCCGTGCGCAAGTTTCTGTGGACACGCGCTTGCATTTCAGGGCGTCCCCCGCTTTTGCCCGTGCTCCCGGGCTTCCGACCAGGAACCGCGCACCTGGGGTGCCCGCACGGCCCCTCTCTCAGGACTGGATGTGAGGTGGAGACTGGCAGGGCCGGCCGGCCGCGACATTGCGATGCTAGTGGCCCTGGCGTTCTATCACAGCGACGACAGAACAGCCCCGTTTCTGAGTGTGGTTCTTTGGCTGAAGCCCTAGGGCCTTTCGGGGCTTTTACTTCCCAAACACAGCGTTGCCGCCTCTGGCTTTTTGTGAGCTTCAGGCTTCTCCCTGTCTTCTCCCAGGCTTATCCCAGCCGCAAGGGAGGGCTGGCCTTTAAGACACACGGCCAGCTCTGGCCGGGCGGCCCGGCTGGTTGGAGCGTTTCCCAGGTCTGTGTACCAAAAGGTTGCCCGCATGATGCCCGGTCAGGGCATATCCCAGGCTGTGGGTTCGGGCTCTGGCCGGGCTGTGTACGGGGGGCCAGCGATCCTGTTTCTCACATTGATGTGTGTCTCTCTCCTTCCTCCCTGCCTCCCTCAGCATGTTCTCTCAGGAGAGGGTTTAGAAAAGGAGAGAGAGAGAGAGAGAGACAGCTTCTGCGTGAAGGAGTGGCCGTGAGACCCTAAGAGGGCCCGCAATCGGCTGGGGCTGCCTTGGCTGCGGGGCGAGGGCCCTGGGACGCCGTCTGTGTCCTTGAGTGGCGTGCGGCACGCTGGGGGAGCCACCGGGGCCCCGCGCCCACGGCAGAAGTTCTGTCCCGGTCGTCCTGCAGGCTGGCGCTTCTGTCCACAGCTGTCCATCCGAACAGAACAGGGACACTTTTCTGCACGTGTTTGCCCCGAGGCCAAACTCATTTTCTTTGTTTTCCTGTGGTGTTGATGACTTTCATTGTTCTCAAATTTAATTACACACGTAATGATTTGCCTTTGTTGAAAAGAACACAATTCTATGAAGTCAGAGCTTTCTTAGAAAATCTAGAACATAACATTACTATAATTATACATTTTGTGACCTTTAAGGTAGACTTCCAGGGGTGACATTAACATGTCAGAATATAAACATTTGAAGAATTCTTGGTGCGTGGTGCCAGTTTGCTTTCTAAAGGCTGTGCCAGTTCACGCTGTTCTCAACCGCACACGGGGCGCGGGCTCTGTCACCATCGTGGATACGCCCCTGGTGAGAGCTGGCATTTGAAAGCCTTAAAACAACAGTTAAATGGTTATGAAATGGCCCCTCATCACACCTATTGATTACTAGCTAGGTTGGAAAAGTTTCTTCGCCTATTTGTGTATTATGACTTGGTCATTCATATGGGATGATGGTTTCTTTATTTAACTGAGATGAACTCTTTTTATGGTCTCTGTCAAATCAAGTGATTTATGTTTTTCTCACTTATATTTTAATCATGGGGAAAATATATGTTCGTTCTAACTGGGCTTTGGGTCAGATTTTGACCAATTGAACTGGGTAGGCCAAAAAGTCCGTATGTTTTTTTCCCGTAAAATAAAAAGCACATTTTTCATTTTCACCAATAACTGTATTGATCTGGATATTTTGAGCATGTTGGCTCTTTCCTGCTGTTGGCGTCCCCTGAGGAGAGGCCATGGGTGCTGCTCAACAACTTCAGGTGCATAAGATAGCCCCGCAGCAAAGGATTATTTGGCCACAGTGCCAGCAGCACCAAGAATTTAACCGGCCACCTTTGACATGTTCAATCAGTCACAGCACCTTCATGCACCACGCAAATCTTTTTTTGCGTTTCACTTGTATTTTTACCTGTCTTAATAAAGCATAATATGCCAAAATGTTCTTCGATCTTCAGTATTAAAATGGCTACACAAAAATTCACCAATTTTGATAAGTTTTTTAAAACACATGCCGATATGACAGCTATCACAATGCAGTCTAATAAAATTGCTCCGAGTGAAGTTAAAGACAACTAAGCACTACGAGAGCCATTGTACG